CTCTTCCCCTAGAGGTTTATTATGTATTTTGTACCTTTAATTTTTAAAAGATTTACTACTCAAATCTCAATTAGAATTAATTAATGGTCTCCCACCCTTGCTAAATCAGGAGGGATTATTGGCCACTCAAAAGACTGAACTAGAAATTAAACTGAAAGATTTGAACCTGGGCCACATTTAAGAATTTTTTTTTAATGTATTGGGCACTAAGAATAGCAAAAAATAGTATAGAAAAAGAGATTCCCTTAGAAGAACACCTATCCGAATCAGGGAAAACAGAAAGTTAAAAAGGCAATTAGACTATCTAAAGCTGTCTAACCAAATAAGGGAAAAGGGCCTTATTGCCCAGACTTGTAGAAAGAAAAAATGGGGCCCCCAAAATGAGAAAGAAAATAACAACAGGAGATTCCTTAAGCAGCCTTAGTGCATGAAAGGGAAGGGGTAAGGGCTGTCGATCTTGTTAAGGGCTGTTAAAGGGTTCCCTGAACTTGTCTTTTTGAGTTGACAGTTTCTGGAAACACTGGACTCAAAGCATGTGGGAAGCTCTGAATGTGGTAACGATGAAGCTTTCCCTGAGCTGACATAATTTGTTGTTGTACCCCAAAGTGGATTCCCTGTGTGTGCTTGGGAGGCAAGAGAGGCACCAGCCAGTCTGTGGCAGGCTGGGGTGAAACTTGTGCAGCTGGGGTCCTTTGCAGATAAGGAGACCATCCTATCTTCATAGTCTAGCTGTGCACAGGAGTGGGGAACCTGCAGCTTCAAGGTCACACGTGGCCCATTAGGTCCTCAAGTGTGGCCCTTTAACTGAATCCAAACTTCACAGAACAAATCCCTTTAAAAAAAGGATTTGTTTTGTCAAACTTGAACTCAGTCAAAAGGCTACATCCAAGGACCTAGAAGGTCACATGTGGCCTCAAGGCCTCAGGTCCCCCACTCCTGATAGCAGTTCCCAAGGGGAAAGAATGCAGCTTTTGTCCTTACCTTGCTCCCTGCCGTGGGTTGTCTTATCTTTTTTCTTACTTTTGCTGCTCCATTCCCCCTTCCACATCACACCCCTTCCTAGTATCCCCTCCTCCCTTTGTTCTGTTATTATAAAAACGAAAACTTCTGCAAAGATTGTGAACTCTTTGCTCTGCTTTGATTTCCATGTGCATGTTCATTCCTCTTGTCACAAACCTAGTTTTCACACAAGTTTCATGAAGGTGTGATTTCCTGTTGACAATCTCAAAGGTTTCATTTTTCCCAGACCCCAAGGTCCTAGCCCTGGATTTTCTGCAGGTGTTCCCTTCACCCCACCTCACCCCCTTTCCCACCAATTTTAGAAATTGAATAATTACTCTTTTTATTGATAAGGTATCCAGTAAAAACTTAACATATGCTGAGTAACTGAAGCTGAGTGTGGAAAAGACATTTTTATTTATACTCAGAGAAACAGTAGCTAGAAAGTAAGTGCCTTTCCTGCTTGAAGAACACTCCTTTCTCCTTATGCCTAAATACCCCTGTGAACTATTGGGGACAAGATGTTCTGGACAGACTTAGGGGTACTACTCCCTGCTCTCTGATAATATTCTGTTCCCGGTGATTGCTCACACAATATCTGACATCAGGGCAACGTGTTTAAAACTGCAAAATGAGTTTTTTGTACTTTTAAGGTTCTCTTTGATGAAAGTTTCTCCATAGTAGACTTAAAAGCCATCAATTTAGAATGTTAGCCATTAATGTTTAAAACGTAGGATACTAATATAAACCTGTTTGTATAAAAAAAATGGTAATAAAAAAACACAACTCTTGATTTGGAATAAAATGTTAGCTGTCTCCAGATTCTGAGAAGTGAAGACGAAGCAAACGAGAAGAGTATGATATACTTTGAAAAAATGCTTTGAGTTGATCTTTGTAGACAAGATAACAGACCTTGATTATTAAGTCAAGCCTTCTGCAAGCTGTTAACTAGGGCTAAGGGGGCTCAGAACCTGACTCCTGTGCTTCAACAGGAGCAGAAGCAACTGCAGGCCTCCTAAAAGTTTTTGTATTACTAAAAACATCTTAATGGATTTTTAAAAGTGTTTGTTCCACAGACTTTTTCATATATTGGGATTAGGAATGAGCAGTGCATATTTCTATCTCCTTCTGGGAAAATGGGAGATTTGAGGTGCTTTAATCTCCCAGAGAACATCTGAATTGTTAACTAATCAAGCAACAGGGTTTAATTATTGTAGGTAAATTATTTTTTTAAAAATCACCAAAATTGAAATCAACTATTCAGCTTGGGAAAGTAAGGTTTTAGTAAGTCATTGGGTTTAACAATATGTGCTGAAATTCTAAATATTCAATGGAGTGAATATAGTAGGAAATTTTCTGATTGCACAGAAAGAAAAATGATAGGGAAAATTTCATGTGGTTACTCTTTATAATATGTAGCTGGAGGCTCCCAAGCATCTTGCAGTTTACTAATAGGAATGAGCGGGAAATTGGAGCTGCTGGGAAGCATCTTTCTGCTCTTGCCAGCTACCTGAACATCATCATCTTCAACTTCTAGCAATGAATTTTATATCCTTTCTCTGCCTGTTCTCTCCAATGCTGCTGCTCCTGGGCATTCACTTTAGGTTTTGAGCCTTCCCTTTTTCGAGTTATAAGGTAAAGAACCACCATTTTATGCACTGCTGGTCTGTCTGATTCTTTTTTTTTTTTTGGAAGGCTATCCCATTACTGATGTTAAGGACTGGAACACTCCCTATTGTCCTTCCTATCTTCTGACCTCAGCAGGCTGCCCTTTCCCCAAGACATCACTTGCCACTGGTCCAGGGGCTAAGGTATTCTAATTGTTTCCTAATTCTTTCTTTAAACACTTTGATGAGGTTATTCAGAGCACCTGTGCTGAACCTGTGGGTTCTCCCCTCAACACACTCACCTATACCCACTTACACATTCACACACACTGTAGTGTACAACCAAAGTGTACAACCCAGTAACTCCTTGAAGTGAATCTAAGGGGGAACTCCAAGTTCAGCTAAGAATGAAGGGGATTACCCTTCTGATATCTTTTTTTTTTCCCTGTCTGGTGTTGCTGATACTGGTCTTCAGTTAGAAAATTATTTTGGATATAGATTTTCTGGCACTGTTTTCTTGAAGTATTTTATCCCTTATATAGAACAGCACTTTTAAAATAAGTTTTGAACAAGATTTTAATCTGAATTTATTACACAGCATAGCAAAAAATGTAGTGACAATAGCTAACATTTATATAGCACTTTAAATACTTTACATATATTATCTGACTTCATCCTCACAACAACTCTATGAGGAAGGTGCTATTATTATCCCTATTGTACAGATGAGGAAACTGGAACACTGATAGGGTAAGTGACTTGACTAGTATCACACCACTAGTAAGTATGTGTCAAGATTTGAACTTAGGTCTTCCTAATTCCAAGTCTAGCATTCTGTCCACTATACTACCTAGAGAGTGGTGGCCATTTGGTAATGGGACTTAAAAGGCGTAAGAACTGCAGCGAGAGGTCTAAGTCAAGGTCCTTTTAGCACAACATTCTAACGATAGCACCAAAGGACTACCCTGAGCAAGGCCCTATTACTGCATCTCAGTAGTCATCTATAAGGCTCAGTAGCAGTTCAGCCAGTAGTTTCACAATCTAACCAAAGAATTCCACTGGTAGTGTTGAGCAGATGCTGCTCAATCTCAATAATGACAGTTTGGATTTGATACCTAATTAAAAAAAACTATTATTGGATTGTTCCAGAACACTAAGATGAGAATGGTGACAGAGAAGAATTATTGTTACCAGTTATGTAGGATGAATTTAAATTGGGGTGAATGAATGGGGACTGAAGGGGATTAGTAAGGATGCATATTGGATTAAGATAGTATATCATTATAAGAGCTGTGGATATAGGAAGGAAACTTTCTACATTTGAAGTATTGACTGAAGAGAAATTATCTTCTGGGAAACATAACAAGAACAAAGATGATGAGGGTACTGACATTTATATAAGCACTTTAAAGGGTGTAAAGTGCTTTACCTACATTATCAAATTTTAGCCTTAAGACAACCCTGTTGAGATAGGCACTGCAGGTATTATGTCCATTTAAATATGAGGAAACTGAGGCTTAGAGAGGTTAAGTAACTTGCCAATGGTCACACAGCTAGTAAATGGCAGGGGCAGGAGTCTTTCATGACTTCAAGTCCAGAATTCTTTTGAATGCGTTGAACTACTGCTCACTAAGCCAGCTTTTTGACACAGGTGACTGGGTTCTTGAAAGTTATACTGTCTGACTTGCAAGAGCAAGTCCTTCCATGAAGGAAAGGAATTGTGGACAGGTTGACTGATGAGCTGTATGTATGTCTTATGAGGACCAGCCTAGCTAGAGAAATAAAGTTCACAATTACAAGATGGAGGAAACAGAGCCAGACAACATTTCCTCTAAAATAACAGGTGGCTTTAGTGGACTACAAGCTCACGGGGACCTTACAGATCATTTTATAGAAGAGGAAACTGAGGCCTAAGGAGGATAAATCAGTTGCCCAAGGTCACAGTTAGTTATTGGCAGAGCTTAAGACTAAGGCCTAGGTCTCCTTGCTCCCAATTCAGTACACTCTCTACCACAACAGCATAATATTAGGTGTATCTTGGACAGAAGGGAGGGGAAAGGAAGGGAAGGGAAGTCTGGACTTGTGATTTTATCATCATAGGGAACTCCTGGTATCTATGTTCCCTCCATAGATGCAGATGAGTAACTTTCTGTAATTTATAATCTCAGAAAGTTACCCAGGGCATTAAGAGGTTATATGTCAGAAGGTTTTCTAATTCCAAGGCTAGCCCTTCATCCATTATGCCAAACTCTTTATATGTATCTTTGTATTCTAATTATTATATTTTTTTCTTTTTAGGCAATTGGGGTTAAGTGACTTGCCCAGGGCCACACAGCTAATACGATGTGTCAAGTGTTTGGTCTGAGTCCGGATTTGAACTGAGGTCCTCCTGACTTCAGAGCTGGTGCTCTATTCACTGTGCCACCTAGCTGCCCCCTAATTATTTTTTATTAATCAGAAAATGTGATTTACCACAACATTCTGTGCCAGGTAAAAGTTTTCTGTCTCTGGATATTCCTCAAATTGTATCTTAAAATGGAGATCAATTTCCAAATGCTCTTAACAATAATGGAATAAGTATATATCACATACATGTTCTGATACCCTTAAAATGGGAGACCATCAATAAATGATTTGACTGAGTTCTCACAGAAATGAGTTCACTCTAACCACTTTATGATAAACTATAGCACCTTTTTAAAAAGTTTTATTGATACTGTTTGTATTTTTGCATGACTATCATTTCCCGATATTAGTTCCCTTGCCTGCCTTCGGCCACCTATTACTGAATCCTCCTCTTAAAAAAAAAAGTTATTGATACCTTTTGTATTTTTACATGACCACCATTCCCGATATAAGCTCTCCTGCTTCTCCTGTGTCACCTGTTCCTGAACCTTCCTCTTAAAACAGTTAAGTAAAATCAACCAGTTTGCATTTGGGGGTGTATTCAGCGTGTTCTGCTCCTATAGTTTCCTCTTCTGTTCCTACCTGCCAGGAGAAAGGTATATTTCATTACCTATTCTTTGGAACCAAGAATGCTCATTACAATTACTCAGTTTGGTTTCCATTTAGTATTCTTTTCATTTAAATTATTACAACCATTGTAGATACTGTTCTTCTGGTCTTTTCTGTTCCACTCTGCATCAGTTCATACAAATCTTCCCATCATTCACCAAGTTATTCATAGTCATCGCTTCTTATGGCACAATAATATTCCTTTACATGCCTATACCAGTTTGTTGAGGTATTCCCAATGGCTGGGTATCCATTTTGCTTTTGGGCATTTTCTGAAAGATGCTCTGTTTTCACATGCTATCCCTTGCTCCAGCTATCATGCGACTTCCTTCAGAGAGCCTGCTGCAGCTTGCACTGTGAAGGCTGCAATAGAAACCTGCCTCTTGACTTCCGCCCAGGCCTTTGAAGAATCTTCTTTGTTTTCAATATCAAAGAGAGCATCATAAATTCCCGGGAATGCCTCTCCAGCATACTTGTTATGACTACTTGGAGCAAAGATGATGTGCCTGTTGGTACAAAACAGTTCTATGAGTATCTGTTCAAGAAACGGTTACAAACTTCTATTACAAATGAACACTCTAGCAACAGTGCTCACTATTTTTTGGTTGAGAGGAGAGGGAAATTATAGTTCTTTTAGAAGATGACTGTACTGCATTATCATGCTAGGAGACTATGGACTTTGAGCTACACATTTGAGAGGGTTGAACTCTAGGGTACTTAGAAAGTCTCTTTCAAACTATATAGTCTATTTAAGTAGTGTGCTAGGTGGATACAGCATAGGGTAGAGTGAGAGCTAGAAAGGATCTCAGAGACCAAGTCCAATCCTTTCATTGTATAGAGGAGGAAACTGAGGCTGATAGACACTAAATGATTTGCCCAGGTGTCTGAATCAGGACTTGAACTCAGGTCTTGCTGATTCTAATGCTAGCTCTCTATTCGCTGCTGCATCTCACAGAACATGTATTTGAATTCTAGTTCTACTTCCTGCTCCTTGTATTATTCTAAGTGCCTTATCTTTCTGAATCTGTTCCATCACCTGAAAAATGAAGAGGTTGGATTAATTGATCCCAAATGTCCACTACAGATCTAAATCCCATGATGTAGTAGTGGAGAGTGATTTGGCTAAACCACTCATTCATACTTTGTGAGTAAATCCTGTTTGTGACCAACAGCTTGTATAGATGAGAGAGTTGTACAGGCTAAGGTTTGCAGTTTGTGGCCTAGACACAATTTTTCTTTTCCATCAATTTATCCTGTTTGTGATTTTATAGATATATTGTCATCCAGTGTCTCTCTCTCTTTCTCTTTGTCCCTCCTTCTCTCTCTCCCTCTCCCTTCCTCTCTCTCTCTCTCCCTCCCTCTCTCTCTCTCCCCCTTCCTCCTTCCTCCATCTCCCCTCTTCTCTCTCCCTCATACACATCTCTACCTTGATATCTATAGTTCTTGTTTGTACATAGCTGTTTGCATTTTGTCTCCCACATTAGATTCTGAGCTTCCTGAGAACAGGATCACAGGATCTCTTGGTTTGTTCTGTTTTTTCCTTTCTTTGTATCTCTCACACTTGCACAATTTGGGCACCTAGTAGATATTCAGTCAATGCTAGTTGACGGACTGATTAAACTTATAACTTAGGCTTTGAATGGTGTGACAGTAGTGAGCTCATTGATCCCCAAATCACTAGAAAGCAAATGACACATTATAGGATCTTTCAATCTCAGAAATGAGAAGGGACCTCAGAGGCTATCTATTCCAATTCTTTCCTTCAGTTGTACAACATCCCCATAAGTGTCTATTCAGCCTTTGCTTAAAGACCTGTAGTGATAGGAAACTCACTTTTTCTTAAATGGTCCATTCCTCTTTTGGACACCTCAACCCCATTGGTTACAGCTGGTAGCAGTTGGGTCACAGTTCTGCCCTTCTGCTTCAAAAAAAAAGTCTCATCTCTTTTTCCCATAGCAGACCTTAAAATATTTGAAGCCAGCATCATAGCAAATCCTCCATGAAGCCTTCCCTGATTTCTCCCAGGTGGTAACAATCTCCCCCTTCAGACCTGATATAGGACTGTATTTGCCACTTCTCTTAATTCTTTTACATATTATATTTTCTGTGTTTCTGTAATTTTCCCTTATTAGACTATCATATCTAAAGTTCATGCTTCCCCCGAAGACTAGCACAATGTTCTGTATACAGTAAACATTTAATACATGTTTATGATATTTTATTTTGTTGTTGCATTATGTCCTCAAGTTCTTATCTCTCTAAACTAAAAATCCTCAGTTCCTTTAACCTATACTTACATGAGCATTAAAATAACTCCCAACCCCCAAAAAGATGCAAACCCCCCAAAACCTCATAATTCCCACACTCCAAAACCAAAAGTTATTATTCTTTTGTTCACTGACGAGTCTCAACAATTATTCGTGTGGTATTCTATGTATTCCTAAGAAGGCACAAACATCCAATTCCAAAAGGAGAAATGGGAATACCCTGATCTAATCCTAGACCTTTGACTTTGGGAAAGCCTTGGTACAACTTGGTACAACTGTCTCTATAGTTACATTCCAAGAAACCATGCTGCTTTGAAAGCATTAAAAATTAAACTACAAACTCATATTAGCTTTAAGAAATGTCTTTTCCCTGAGAATATTCACCAGAAAAATCTGTGAGTAGTCATTAAAAAGAAGTTGGATTTCATTTCATTCTCAAGTACTATTCTCTAAAACTTTTTCCAAAGACTGACATTTGAAAAAAAAATTAACATATAAGCCGCAGTATATATATATTTTTTTCTCCTTACCTATAGAATGGGCTTCCAGGCAATCCAAGAGGATCAATAAAAGCTCTTTCTAAAAACATTAGCTGATCATTGATAATTCTCACTGAGACCGGACTAAAAAAGATAAGGAAACATACTTTAGCATATTTGAAAATGGACACTTTAAGCCAGGTGGTTGCACATTCATAATAGAAGCAAAGCAAATACAGTTTCCAAAAAAAGTTCTTCTGCTTTGCCTTGTCATGGCACAGAGATAACTCAGTTCCTAAAGGCTAAGGTCAGAAGAACTTAAGTTCTAGCATATCTTACAAAGCCAGAAGAGTCTGAGGACAAACACAGATACAGATATTTTGTCATCTGATGCTGTAGCTGTGTGAAAAGGTTCATCAGTTAGGCTAGCGACCCATGAAAACTTTATATAAAAATATAAAACTTTATATAAAAATATAAAAAAAAATATTTATATAAACAAATAAACCACAGATTCATGAATTTAAAGAACAGGATCATAAGAGTTTAGAACAGGAAGGGATTCTGGAGATCATCAAGTCAAATCCCTTCATTTTACAGAGGAAATTGAGGCAGAGACAGGTTTAATGATGTGGGCAAGGTTAGAGCCACAGAGTGAGGGAGTATGTATCACTCAAAGGATAGCCCCAAGTTTTCCAGGAGATGAAGGATATTAATGGGGAAGAACGTTGGAGAGTGAGATGGAACAGCAGCAGTGAGAGAGTAGGGGCCAGTCAAATTGCAGGTGACTGGCACAAGGAAAGGGAGTGGCCTAAGGAAGGGGAACAGGTCTGTTTTCCCCACGGGTTAGAGTTAGGAAAGTGGGTCCCCAGCAAAGGGACTCTTTTGTAAGGGGACGCTGGCAGTGTGATCAAGTAAGAGAAGCCAGTGGAAAATGATAAAGTGCCAGGATGGCTATCTCTAAAAAGTGCAGAGAGAGCATGTTTCTGTGTATTGGGGGAGGAATTGTATTCCTTTGGATATCAGCCTTATAGGCAAAGCCCAGTGGACCTGTCCTAGATTTTGTTCTTTGTTTATGAGATATCACAAATAGAAGATAAGGGATTCAAAGTCAGGTCTTCTGACTCCAAATCCTGTGTTCTTTAGCTACACGCCTTGAAGTAAAGTCACCATGAGTATTATGAAGTGGAGAACTATGGTAAATATTTGGCTAATTCAAATGAAAATCCCAGCTAAGTCAAGTACATGGTTAAATTCCACTTTGGGAGTTGAAACCTGGCCCACAAATCTCTCTTGGAGTCTGGGAGTAGGAGGTAGGGAGGCAAGAAGAGTATTATAGTGTGAGTAACATAACTCAACATAAGAGCCATATAGAGTCCAAAGCCTCAAGGGGCACTTATTAATGCTCTTACTTTGCTATCTAAATGGAGTTTTCTTTGGACCAACTGTTTCCACATTGAGGAAAGGAAATATGTCTCCTGTGGTACAGCAAAAAAGAATGCTGCGTTTGGAGCCAGAAGTCCTAAATTCAAATTCTAGTTCTGTCATCCTTGGGCATATCATGTAATTTCTGTTGGCCAAAGTTTCTCATCTCTAAAATGATAACAGTTGGACAAGACAGAAGGGAACGAGGAGGTAGTTGGCTGGGGGAGAAGGTAGTTAAGTTTGGTGGTCATGGGCCAATGAAAATAGAAAGTTAGAACCATAGAGTCAGAGCTAAGAGATAGAAAGGGCCTTAAAGGTCATGAAGTCTGAATGTCCTTATTTTACAGATGATAAAACTGCGGACCAGAAAAGTCATACCATTGAATATTTACCGTAAGGGAAAGATAGGAAGTGAAAGTCCTTTGTAAGTGAGCTTCTTCAGGGCTGGGACTATTTTGCTTTTGTTTTTGTATTCCCAGTACAGAGACTGGCACACAGTAGATGCTTACTAAGTTTAATTGTTTGATAAATGGGCGCTGATTCCCAAAGGCTGTTTTAACACTGATAACATAAGTGTGTTAAATGGCTAAGAGGAAAGGAAGACAAGTAGACAGCCAGAGTACTCCATTGGGATCCTCTAGATGTTGAGAGAAAGAAGGTCTTTAGCATGTTGTGGGAGGAGATCCCCTGTTGCAAACTTTTGGAAGAAGTAGGGCAAGAGTCAGAAGGGGTGGTACAGGCAAGGATCCAGAAGTTTGCTAGAACCAGCTTGGACCAGCTCCTTAAATTTTCAGTGTGAGCATTTACACCTTGGAAATTGGCAAATGCTAAAACAAATAAAAAATGAAACAAAAAAAAAACCACAGAGCTTGAATTATTGTTTGTTTGATTGTCTAGACTTTAAGAAAATGTTAACAATTCAGATTAAGATTAAAGTGTGATGTGTGAACATTTTTTTTCTGTAGATGTTTACCAGCACCACCCTTACATTGTTGGAGAGACATCCTGAATTGATGAGATCCCAGATTCATTTGAGCACCTGCTTATTGGCTTTGTGATTTACGTGATGTTGAGAATTCTCTGTACGCAAACTCGCACTAATATTCATCATATAATTCAGAGTCGCGATTTTCTATAGTCTTAGTTGCATGGGGCACTGAGAGGTTAAGTGATTTGCACCCAAGGTCTCCTTGACTTGACTAAGGCCAGTGTCTACCCATTATTAGGATAGTTCACATCCTACTTGCACAATTACCTATACTTAGAACATGTTCACACCCTACTCACTCATTTGTGTCTAGGTCGTGTAGTCTCTTGCTGAAGTTAGTAGTTGTTTCTGTAAAATTCTTCACCGCTGAGAAAAGTGGGTCTGGAATAAAGATTATCTAATTATTTAAAGTCGAATTATCCATGACACTCTGGCAAGTGCTGCACAGATAGAAGCACAAAAATATAGTCTCTATCTTCTGGGGGTTTATAGGCTACAGTACAAAGCCCTGAATGAAAAAAGGAGGATACATTTCTGTTGATTAGTATAATAAATAAAAAGGGACTACTACATAAGAAATGATACAATTATATACTATAAGCTTAGTACCTCCTACTGAGTACAATGAATATTACTGCTGATGGGCACCCTGGAGCTAGAGCTCCAGGGTCCTAGAATAAGAGGATACATCAAACACAAATTCCAGAAGAAAGTGTTTTGGCCGCATCACGTACCAAAGGATATGTTGTATGCTTGCAGCTTTTCCGGATGCTTCTGGGCCAGTTCATAAATGCTGTTGACATATTTCTGTAAAACTCTGGCATAGTCTTGACAGTCCAAAGGGAGAACAATGGAGTCGGCCAATTCAAAAAGGACGCCTCCTCGGACCTGAGCCACTGTGAGGTGATTCTTAAAAGTGGGGTCATAAAAATTTTCCACTATTTCGTAAGTTTCATAGACACTGTGATATACTGGATAGCTGCTGTAGTTGTCTGTTTTCTACAAATGTAAGAACAAAATGCAATTCTCATTGTCTTTGAAATACAACAATAGTACATTAATATGGAGCTGAAAAGCAAAAGAAATTTATCACTAATGTCTAAAGAAATGTCTTGGCCAGTTACTGAAAAAACCTCCTCTCCTCTGCCTCTTTCTTCCCTTTTTTCGGTGAGGCAATCGAGGTTAAGCGATTTTCCCAGGGTCATACATCTAGTAAGTGTCAAGCGTCTGAGGTCGGATTTGAACTCAGGTTCTCCTCACTCCAAGGCCAGAACTCTATCCACTGTGCCAACCTAGCTGCCCCTCATCTGCCTCTTTCAATCCTTTGTTTTCTTAAGTTTCATCTCCAGTCTTCCCTCAAACAGGTTATCTTTGCTTATCCCTCTCCTTCTCCCCCCAACTCCCACCTCTTCTCAGTGCTCTCCTCATACCTAGCTAAAATTACCAGTTGAATGAAGGCTTTTTTGTAGGCTGGGAGTGTTTCACTTTTGTCCTTGTATCTACAATGCTTCACACGCAGTTGGTGCTTAACAAATTCTTGTTGAATTTAAATTGAGATGAACATAATAAAAGTACTGAAAAAATGTAATAATGATCTGAAACCAAAACATGAATATATCACCTAATGCAACATTTTTCATTGATGTAAATAGCAACAATACCAGACTGACTAAGAACTAAAAGGAGGCTCCAACAAATAATTAGGCTTTGTTTTTATAAACAGCAAACAATTCTAAACTAAAACCCCAAAACATTAATCCTTGAAACTTCATTAACCTGTTATTAATGAAAAACACTGGGCAAGCAGTCGGCAAAACTGGGTTTGTTCTTTTGTAATGTATAATCTTAGAGAAATGACAACCTCTTTGGTCCTTAATTTCTTCAGTTTAAATTAAACTGTCCCAGATACCTTTCTCCTTTAAGATCCTTATGACTGAGAAAATTATTACATTACTGCTAATGAGTCACACTTGAAATAACTGTTGGTGACAATGATAATAGACAATGGCAATTTTTATAGCACTTTAAAATTTATTTATTTCATCCGAGCCTCACAACATCCCAATAAAATTTATATTACAGGTATTACTATCCTTATGTTAAAGATGAGGAAACAGGGTCAGAGAGGTTGAGGGATTTACTAGTGTCAGAGGAAGGGATTTGAATCAAAGTCTCTCATGACTCCAGGGTAGCTAGGTGGCACAGTGGGATAGAGTGATTGGCTTGGAGTCAGGAAGATTCATCTTCCTGAGTTCAAATCCAGCCTCAGATACTTACTAGCTGTGTGACCCTGGGCAAGTCATTTAACCGTGTTTCATCTGTAAAATGAGCTGGGGAAGGAAATGGCAAACCATTCTAGTATCTTTGCCAAGAAAACTCCAAATGGGGTCACAAAGAATTGGTCACAACTGAAAACAACTCAGCAACAAAACTCTCGTGACTCCACATCCAGCACTTTTCCCATGGTATGTTCCCTCTGTACTAATATTGTGCTGTCACTACCTCTCATGTGATTTTCTCCTTAGAATCACAGATTATCAAAATTATAAAAGTCCTTCAAGATCATCTACTAACCCATACTGGAGCGGATATCCTATACGACATTTTCAATTATTGGTCATCTATCATTCTTCTGCAAGGTAGTATTTTTTGATTTGTTTCACATATTCAATGGTTATAGGTAAAATAGCTAAAAAATTATTAAATGTAGACTCTGAATGGTATTTGTGATTCCACCAAAACACCAATATCATGTCACAGAAATAAAATATCTTCCCATTTTAACCTTGTTCTCTATTTCTGAGTAATAATCTAGCCTAGCAGCTGGGCATGGCAGTGGTGCCCCTTAAAGCTCAAACTAGAAATTCAATTCATCAAATACATATTAAGAATCTGTTGTATGGGAGGTACTTTTGCAGGCTAAGGGGATATAAAGAGAAAATCAAAACAGTTCCTCCCCTCAAAAAGCTTACATCCTACCATTCTCAGTTTGAGTTTTGATCATAAGTGCAAGATAAAAAAATCATCAAGTGAGTTTACAGGAATTTTACTCTAAAAGAAAAGCATTCTAAAAGGAATATTTTGTAAGGTGTCAGATTAACATAACAAATTTTAGATAGGTCACTGATATCAACATAGCACATTTTAGGTAGGTCAACCTGGAACATGGACTAGCAGAAGTAATCTATGGAAAAGATTTAGCACCTACAGTTTACCTACCATGGCACCCATCACACATGGCTATATATATATATATATATATATATATATGCTATACATAGTCAACCTATAGCTGCCTCTTTCCAAACTCTTAATCCCCCATAGCCACAGCTGTTTGGAATGGTCATGCTTGGTAGACATTACCAATAGGCAATCAAAAGTCATTGGTGGATTCAAACTTACCCAGTTTTTAGTGTAATGGTCATGCTTGGTAGACACTACCAATAGGCAATCAAAAGTCATTGGTGGATTCAAACTTACCCAGTTTTTAGTGTAACGAGCTCTGCCTGAAGGAATGCCAAGTCTATGAAAAAAGACTTCAAAGTCATTGCCAGATCCCAGTTTGTTAATCCTTGAAAAGGTAAGAAGAACAACATTAAAATTTTTTTTTAACAGTTTCAAGAACTGTGAAAGTGCTGTAGAACAATTATCTCTATATGGGGAAATTTTTAGCCCTTCAAGTTACAATGACTTCCTTTCTAATTAAAAATTGCTTTTTTAATAACTGTTCGTGGTATGTGTGTGTGTGTGTGTGTGTGTGTGTGTGTAAACTAATACTAACGTGCCAATTCAATGGCCTGCAGCAAATCAACTTGAATGTCATTAGTCAGTCAATCAATAAACACTTATTAAGCACCTACTTTGTGCCAAGTGTTGTGCTAAGCACTAGGGACACAAAAAGAGACAAAAGATAGTCCCTGCCCTCAAGGAGCTCACAGTCTAAGGGAGGAGACTACATGCAAACAAATATGTACAAACAAGCAATATACAGGATTAATAGGAATTAATCATCTAAAGGAAGTTACTAGAATTAAGAAGGATTGGTAAAGGTTTCCTGTATGAGATGGGATTTTATGTGATTTAAAAGGAAGTCAAAATAAGTAGAAATAAGGAGGGAGAGCATTCCAGGAATGGGGGACAGCCAGAGAAAATGATAAGAGATGACAGATGGAGTGTCCTATTCATGGAATAACAAGGAAGCCAGTGTCATTGGTCTGAAATAAGGTGTAAGAGGACTGGAACTGGAGGAGGGAGCTAGGTTATGAAGGGCTTTGAACACAGAGGATTTTGTATTTTATACTGAAGGTTATGGGGAGCCGCTGAAATTTATTGAGAAGGGGTGGGGTGACTTGGTCAGACCTGCACTTTAGGAAAGAATGGAGGATGGACTAGAATGAGGAGAGAGTTAAAGCAGGCAGACCTACCAGAAGACAGTTGTAATAAGTCTAGATATGAGGTGATAAAAGCCTTTACTAGAGTGCGCAGTGTCAGAGGAGAGAAGAGAGTATATTGGAGAGACGTTTAAAAGGTGAAATTGATAGACTTTGGCCACAGAATGGATGAGGGGCTGGAGAGGTTGATAATGAGAAGTCAAGGATGACACCTAGGTTGTGATCTGGGGGACTGGGAGGATGGTGTTGCACTATAGAGTCATAAGGAAGGTAGGACAGTGGGAAGGTTTAGGGGGAAAGTTAATGAGTTAGATTTTGGACATGTTGAGTTTAAGCTGTCTCTTGGAATTCTGTTTGTGATGTCTAAAAGGCTATTGGAGACATTAGACTGGAGGTCAGAAGAGAGTTTGGGGCAGGATAGGTAGATTTGAGAATTCTCGGCATAAATATGGTAATCACATCTATGAGAGCAAATGAGATCACTAAGGGAAATAATAGAGAAAGGGAGAAGAGAAGAGGGACCAAAATAGAATTCTGTGCCACACTTAGGCTTAGCGGGCTTCAGTGAAACACCATGTAAAAAATTATTAGACTAGGTGTCAGCAAACCAAGTTTCTGGTCCTCACTTGACCACTAACAAACTATGTGATTTTGAAAAGATTCATTTAACCACAGTATAGCTTTATCAGATTTCCACAACAGGAAGTCTTTTTCCCCCCCATATTTTCTAAGAGCACCTTGTGTCCATCCACCTCACTGTCTCATCACTCTGTTCTGTACTATTCTTACCTACCAGAGTGCAGCCCTCAGTAAGCTCCTTGAGACTTACAGACTGTATTGTTTTGTACTTTGGTATTTCCAGGACAGTACTATTCACACAGTAAGCACTTAATAAACAAATATTTGTTAAATAAAAAAAAGTAATGCAATAAGAATTTTTCATTTACTTTGCTTTTCTAGTGTGGACTAAGACCAACTTCTTTTACATTCTTGTGGGTTTCATTGATGAGTGTTTGTAACAATCCAGTACTTGTTGCAATCAATTCAGTGTTATCTGCTACTAAGAGTATTTGGAGAACTACACCAATAATCGTTTTTTTGTTTGGCCAGGGCATCTTCTAGGAGACAGCCGAACACTTGAGACAGTTGCATATTACTTTCCCATTTTACACTTCCTTTACTGTCAACACATTGGATCACTGAGCTGTTACCACTTGCAGTCACATCTGTGATAGTATCGTTTAATTTTAATGTAGATTTCCCAGATCTCTTCCTTTTCCATCCATTTCGCTGTCTTCTAGTTTCATCCATAAATGCTTTTAATTTTTGTTCGAATGCCAGGGTCCCTGAAGGCTTGTTTTCTCCTTGTGTGCTTTTTGATGCTTTGGGAGATGATATGGCACATAATCTTCTGTCATCTTCCTCTGTAAAAAAAGAGCTTGCACAGGGTAACCTGTGTTACCCCTGGCTGCTGTAGCTCTTCATTTAGCAAGGGGATTGTTCGCTACCCGAAGCAATTCTTGGGCTGTTTAGCTTTCTTGTTGTGCTACTTTGCACCATTCACAGGCCTCAAAGAAATGGTGATAGCTAATGTTTTTATTTTTGCCGATTTCTGATTCTTCTGAGTTATGAATTCATTTAAACAGGTCAGGTAAAAGCTGCTAAAATTATAAACAGCATCTATTTATTTTTGCTTTTGGTGTGGTTATTTTTACCTTTGCTCTAACTAATGAATAGTCTTACTATGCAGAGAGTTGATTCTGAACTACATTCTATGTCTGGAGCTGCTCAGTCCATATCTATTAAGATTCAGTCAATTCAAAAATTTTTATTCTGTCACTTGGTGGCCACTAAATCCCGAGCTTTCAATTCTCTTCCTAAATAAAGGACTTCTGAGTCTAAACATGGTGACTAGAGAGATACAACTAAGTTGGGGCTCCAGAAGCTGATAACCTGTTCCAGTTCCCATCCTTAATCTGTCTTCCAGGATTGCCCTGCATTCCTTGTAGTTCATTGCTGCTGAGGTTGCTTAACTCCTCAACAGGAGAAGTAGGCTCTCTAGTTCTCATATTCATGGACTCATGTCCCCAACCATGCTACCACCAGAAAGTTGTTACTTAATTTGGTTCTTAACTATAGAAATAGTTATACACTTGAAGTCTAACGGGTTCTCCCAGGAAAAGGGAGAGAAAAAAATGGTGCCCAAAATACAAGCATGAATTAGGTATGTAACATGATTTACAGGGTAAAACAGAAAATAAAAAGTAGTCAATAAAGAATTGCAGAATGATTAGGAGTTGGTAATTTATGACTAATATAATCAGTGGACAATATTAAAGTATCACTCGGATAGTTTCTTTGTACGACTACTTATTATCCAGCGTGCATTTCTTCTCCCTTCAGTATAGTCCAAACAACACCAAACACACTCTTTATTTCCGTTGACCCCTCTCTCTATGGTCTTTTTGACAGTTTTCTTCTGTTGCTGTTACCAATGCAACTGCCTTGGTGGCTGCTACACTGCTACCCCGCTACTTGGATACATGATACAGGGAAGACACTAGCTGCCTTTCAAGATTTCATAGAGTCCTCTGCAAAGGAAAAGAAGACACAAGAAGGTCTCTCTCTTCTACTTGATTCTCCAAACATAGAGACCTGGTCCTCATGTTTCAAAGCTGGCAAGAAGAGGAGACTTGAGGGGCAGGGATTATCCTTTTAGTACATCCAGAGTTCCAGCTCAGCAGCCAACTAAAAGACTCTTCAAAATCATCCAGTTGGAACCCCTGCACCATCATGGCCAACTTTAGTGCATGCATGCCCTGAAGTAGGGGATGGGACTGGGGTGCGGGGGAACCCCTCCATCATGCATGCCTAGCGGGGCCACATTAAATTTCCAAGTGTTTACCTGGCATGCCAGCTGAATATGGTGCCCCCACATGAGTAATCTACATTTGGCTTCTCTCATTCTTGCTCCTCATGTTTTTCAACATAGTTTTTGCTATTCTTTTTTGTGCTCACTAATGGAAATTGAAGTCACCAAACATCAAAGATAAACAGTTGAATTAGCTTGAATATTTGATATTTATTATATGATATTTATTAACAAGTAATTGTATTTAAATACCCAGATATTGTGCTTTGGGGTTATGTTCTACTAAGCCCCTTTCTATTTTTTTTTTCAAAAATCAAAATGCAAAAGAAAACAATCTGAACAATGTTAACCACAAAAAGTAAAAAAGAAACTGAGTTACAGCAAATGATAATAATAATATAGCTAGCATTTATATAGTCCCTACTATGTGTCAAGTGCTGAAAGCTTTACAAATAGGATCTCATTTGATCTTCACAATAACTCTGGGAGGGAAGTGTTCTAATTATCACCTCCATTTTGCAGATAAGGAAACTGAGGCAAACAGCTTTTGTGACTTGCTCAAGGTTACTCAGTTATTAAGTATCTGAGGTCAGATTTCAAATCAAGACTACTTGACTTCACTCAAGGTTCTCTAATGCCCTGTGTCATCTCACTTCCTAATCAACATAAAAACTTACTATGGGAGGCTGAAGTTGATATGTACTTTGTATTTTCTCCTCTATGTTATTTACTGTTAATTACTCAATTGAATATAATCTGTTGGAGGTGTCTGAGTCTTGTTTTTTTTTTTCTTTGCATTCTCAGTACCTAGTATAATGCCTTATAGTAGACACTTAATAAATGTTTTTTGGATTAAATTGAATTATTCATTCATTTACCTGGGTAGGTCATTGAATTCTGTTGAAGGATTTTTCTCCTTCCAGCTCTCATATAGAGATTTGTCTTCAAAACCCTCATCAGGACTTCGAAGCTACAAAAAAAAAAGTATTAGAAACTTGCCCAATTTTAAAAAGTTATAGTGCTTAAACTTATAAAGTACTTTGGACTTTCCAGAGCATTTTTTCACAGATTATCTTCCTTTCTTACATCAACCGTGAGAGTAAGGTATCATTATTTCATAAATGAGGAGAGGCTCAAAAATTTACAAAATGACTTAGCCAAGACTTGAACTGTTAACTCATCAGAATAATTTACATATTAATGAGGAATTCTCAAAGACTAAATATCCTTCTGGGTCCAAAGAAACAAATCTCTAATGGTATAATTTTTGGCACATAACATGTGAGAGTTCCAATATTTTTAGGCAGAGGAAGCCTGACTCAACCTCCTGAAATAATGCCAACTTTTAGGGTGATTTTATCCATCTACACTGAATGATCACTCACCCCACCCACTTTTAAGGCTAACCTTCCTTTTGCTGATAACTGGCAGCTTTGTGCATGGTTAACAAGTGAGAATGGGAGACTGTGTCTTCAGAAGGCCACCCAACAACTCACTTTTGAGTTTGGGTTACTCCTAAAGGATGGTGGTTATAGGAACTTAAGGTCCTGCTTAGATAACAGAATTTCTTAGATGAGAGAGACCTTAGGAATTATCTATGCCAGCTAAGGATCATATTAGTTAGACCTGGATTGAAAAGAGAGAGATTCATCCAATGCTCTGATTTCACAGATAAGAAAACTAAAATCCTGGAAGGTTGGTAAGGCAGTCAATGAACATTTATTAAGCATTTATTATATGCCAGACACTATGTGGTGATTTGCTAAAGGTTACAAAAAGAACGCAAGCAGCAGAATTGATATTTAAACCCAGGTGATTTGCCTTGATTTATTTATTTTTCCTTTTTAAGAAAACAACCTTATTTCTGATTGCCTATTCATGTGCCTCATTTTCAGGCTTAAATTCAGAGTTAAAGTGAGTGTTCTTAGGTCATCTGTCTTCCTATATTACTTTTCAGTTTTAAGCAAGAACATTCCTGTAAAGCATGGTGAAAACGGATCATGATTTAACTCAGTAACAGTTAAATGAGCCAGAAGACTATGAGAGCAAAGAAGACGAATGGAAAATACATTTTAAAGACAATCCAATAAAATTGTCTCCTAGACAGAATATGACTGTGAAGCACAGAGAAAATAAGATAAGATTTTCTCACAGTTGACAGAAGTGCAGCTTAAGTACCCTCTGAAGCAGCCAGAATGAAAACTACTAAGTAGAGGCCTCCTCAAGTGCCATAGAAGACCAGAAAGACCCGCTGGCTAAGTGCTCCACCCAATTTGGTGAGGAAAGTCACAAAAGAGAATATATTCATTCCATCAACTATGTCCCCAGGGGAAATGATAAGTTCTGTCATTCAGTAAGTAAATAAATATTATAAATAATACCTACTATGTGTCAGACAAGGTGGTCTAAGTGCTGGGGATACAAAAAGCAGTCAATTTCTACCCCACCCCGCAACCAGTCCCTGCCCTTAAGGAACTCACAGTTTAATGGGGGAGACAGCAAGCAAATATGTACAAACAAGCTATATACTGGATAAACAGGAAATAATTAATAGAAGGAAATCACTAGAATTAAGAGGGATTGGGAAAAGCTTCTTCTAGAAAGTGGAACTTTAATTGGAACTTGAAGTAATCCAGGGAAACCAAGGGGCAGGGATGAGGAGGGAGAACATTCCAGGCATGGGGGGGGGGGGGGGGTTAGTAAAAAGGTCCAGAATGAAGATAGGGAATATCTTGTTTGTAGAACAGCAAGGAGGTTAGTTTCACTGGATTGAAGAGCATATGTCAGGATTTAAGGTATAAGAAGGTTAGAAAGGTGAGAGTGGGTAGACTGAACTATGGCTTTGAACAATAAATAGGGAATTTTGTATTTGATCCTGGAGGTGATAGGGAGTTATAAGAATTTATTGAATGGGGATGTGTATAACATAGTATGACATAGTTTGTAAGTATGACTTATGCTTAAGGAAACTCACTTTGGTGGCTGAATGGAAGATGGACTGGAGTGGGGAGAAACTTTTGGCAGGAAGCCAAATTAGCAGGTTTTGGAATAGTCCAGGAATACGGTGATGAGGGCCTGCACCAGGACAGTACTGGTGGCAATATCAGAGGAGAGAAGGGGGATTTTTCAAGAGATGTTGCAAAGGAGAAATCAACAGGCCTTGACAACAGAATGGATATGGAAGATGAGAGACAGCGAAAAGCCTTTGTTGACATACCTAGGTTCCAAATCTGGGAGGATGATGGTGTCCTCAGTGGTAATAGGGAAGTTTGGAAAGGGGGAAGGCTTCAGGTAGACATGAGTTCAGTTTTGAACATGTTGAGTTTAAGGTGTCTACTGAACATCCAGTTTGAGATGTCTGAAAGGTAGTAGGAGATGTGCCACTGGAGGTCAGCAGAGAGGTTAGGGCTGGAAAATTAGATTTGATAATCATCAACATAAAAAAAATTAAATTCATAAGAAGTGATGAGATTACCAAGTGAAGTAGTATGTTTGAAAAAGAGAAGAGGGACAAGGACAGAGTTCTATGGGACACGTTAGTGGCCTTGATTTAGATGAGAATCTAGCAAAGAAGAGTGCAAGGAGCAGTCAAATAGGTAGAGGGAAAACCAGGAGGGAATGTTAGCCTGGAAATCTAGAAATGAGAGTATCAAGAAGAAGACAGTGATTGACAATGCAAAGACTGAAGAGAGATCAGAGAGAATAAGGATTGAGAAAAGGCCATTTAACTTGTGAATTAGGAGATAGTCGGTAGCTTTGTAGAGAGCAGCTTTTGTGGAATAATCATGCTGGAAACAAACTTCTGGTGAGTTATCTGAGAGTTGGCTACTTCGAGCCCTTAACAGTGCCTTGACCTTCCCTTTGGTGTTTATTAATATTATTAATCTAGGCCTATGGTCAGTAAAGATTTAACCAATCAGACTTCTGGCTCAGCCTCCACCCACTGGGAAAACTCTAGCTTCTTCCATCTTGCCATGTTGAAAAGAAATTTAATCACATATCTAATGGAGTTGAAAGAGATACAGTTTAACTGTCAACTGTTCTTTACTCATAAGCCAGTGAAGCAAAAGATAAATATATTAAGACAACCATTCCATAAGTTTGGCTCATCGAAGTCACCCAAGTGAAGTCTGTTGTTGTGCCCTAAATCAAGGAATTCTAAGAATACTGTTCTGGTACTTAGGCTCTGACCTCCTTCTATTACTGAAGCGAAGAAACAGTAATCACTTAGAGAGTCCTATCTATCTAGGTGCTATTGCTAAGTGTTAGTAACTCCAGGTTGATCTTTCATGTCATCACTCTGTTACTGGCTGGGACCTCCAATCTTGCTTTTTTAAACTGATTCCTGAGGTTAATGACTCATTTACTGGGCTATACTGAGTTCTGATGGACCTTATCAGAACTTGCCATAACTAGGTGGTGAAACTAGAATCAAGGGCAGGCTCAAATGTGGAGTAACATATCTTAACTCATCATTCATCCCTGAACCTACAAAATTCCTGACAGTAGTATTGCCCTTTCCCCTTTTATCAAATCTGGCTTGTCTACTCTTCAAGAACTTTAGTCTATTTCCTAAGCAGTTGAAGCTTGGTGGGAATGTCTAGTTTCATAAGCTTTATAGGCCAGCCAATTCAAGACATAGAATAATGGCTTATCCAGCTAAGGGTTTAAAAAGAACCTCATAATCCATTTCAGTGTAATCAATCAACATACCTCAATACTAATGTAGTATTTATTTGTACAGATGAGACAATTAGAGTAACATGATTTGGGTTTTCAAAAAAAAATGCATTACAAATTCAGCACTAATCCTAGAAAATGAGATAAATTATCCTCGAAAGAAAGATATTCTGAAATTTCTTTGTGGATCTGGCATACCTTCTTTCCTTATTATGAAGATGGAAGGGGGCTAATGTTGCATAAACTGTCAGACTTGGTTGATATGGTTAGTTTTGCTAAACTGTTCACTCCCCATAACCTTTTCATTCTTTTATTATGAAGGACAGTCTCCTGGGAAGGCGAAGGGATGGTAAATATTCAGAAATGAAAAAAAAAAAGAGATATAATGAAAAGAAAGAAGGAAGAAAAAAAGAAGAAAAATAAAAGCACTGGGGAGACACTAATTATTAAGGGAATACTTTACTCTAAAATTGACATTTACTTGTAAAAAACAAACTCATTAAATAATAATAAACAAATTAGGGTGTAACATATGACAAATAATTGAAGCATAGTATAGTAGGAATTTTACCAAAAGCATCTTGGAACCAAAATAACTCTGAATGAATTAATGCACCATATTCCAGGAATAAAATATTGTAACATAATGGGATGGTAATATATTTGGCAGGAAAGTTTTTTAAAAATTATTTTTAATAAATGCTTATAATTTATTTTCTAAATTAAAGTCAATATTTCATTTCCCTGAAAACTATGTAATTTTTTTTTGTTTGCAATAACAGTGATCTAATGAGCTAGAAACAATTAAAAAAAATCATCTCATGTTGGAGATGAAGAAACTCAGAGAATAACAGTGATTCTTGTTATAATGTTGGGAATTCTCTAAAGACCATGCCACTTTAGAGTATCCAGCATTCACTAGACTCCAAATAGGTACTGAGCCCTCATTAGCCTACTTCAGCCTGTTTAAAAATTAAGGTTTTTCCAGCTGTGTTTGGCAACTAAAATTCTAATGAATTAGCAACATGTGCAAACCTTAAGTTTAATAATAAATTTATTTCATATAATCCCTCATTAGAGGGAAAATCTTGAAAGTTCAGATCATATCAGCCTGATGAAATAGCAATCAAAATTTAAAAATCAACTTGTATAATGTTCCCATAAAAAAAAATCCTATATTAATTAGCTTCAGTATTAATCACAAGTTACTTGGGAACTAAAACAACAAGGATTATGGAATTTAGTATTCTTTGTGTCATTTGCCAGAGCATGAAAGACACTAGAAAGAAAGAAGCCCCTAACATGGCTCCCTCTGAAATGGATGAATGCAATCTTCTGAGAGCACTCTGTTTTGCAACTCTGATTCCTTTACCAGGTAATTTTTATGCTTAGTTAATTTTATTTGTGTTTTTCCACCTTACAATCCATTGATTGTAAGGTCCACATGGGTTATTTCTCGCCTAGATCATCTCAACTTTATATCTTCCTTAAAATCTAGGACAAAAAAGATACTTTATAAAAATATGTTGAATGAAATATCCTGAATAGAAAGCCTGTACATTCAAGTCATGATCATTTGTAATTTCAATTTGATATAGCTGGTCTCCGGTATTTCATGATCTCCAGAAACTCATTATTCTACAAGATGAAGTCTACTCTGAAACTCATTCCTCCTCCCCCTGGGACTATTCCCTCCCTTTGATTGTAGAGGTAGGGGGTAAATATTCAGGAGCTCTTCCAGACCCTCTGTCTGAGGAGGGTGCCCAGGGAATTCACTTTATTATTTCCTTCCCAGCTGAAGTACTGGATTTCATAATCCCCAGTAACTCACTATTCTGCAAAATGAATTCAACTCTGTAACTCATACCCGCTCAGGTAATTTCCTACCCCCATTTCAGGACTGCAACATAACCCTACTCCAGTTCTCTCCCTCTTCTCCATTTTTCAGCTTCTTTTTATGTGTTGTTTTTCTTGATTTGATTATAAGCTCCTTAAGGGCAAGGACTGTCTTGCACTTTTTTTTTTTTTGCTTTTTGGTGAGGCAGTCGGGAGTTCAGTGACTTACCCAGGGTCACACAGGTAGTAATTGTCAAGTGTCTGAGGTCAGATTTGAACTCAGGTCCTCCTGACTTCAAGGCCGGTGTCCACCGTGCCACCTATCTGCCCGTCTTACTTTTGTTTGCATCTCTAGCACTTAGTATAGTGCCTGGCATATAGCAGGCACTTAATATTATTGACTTTGACTCTAGTGATCAATTAGGTTAGAGTGTCATTCCATATTGTATAATGGAAAGTGTAAGTATAATGGAAGGACAAGCTAGACTCCAATTTCAGGAAAGACCCAAGTTCAAATGATGCCTGACAATTAGTAGCTCTATTGACCACCAAAAAATCAGTTAATTTCTCTGAACTTCAATTTCTTGATTTGTGAAATGGGTATAATAATAGTTGTACTTACGCTCGTAAGACTATGTGATGTTATATGAGATAACATATATAAAGTACTCTGTAAACCTTAAAAAATACTATATGATATTGGTACGCTTCAGTTTAGTCTAAAATGAAGAGAATGTAAGACTGCTTGACTTGGGAGTCCTGAGCATCAATCAAAACTTTATCTTCCCTGAACTCTCTGATTTAGGAGATAACATACATACATAAAAAGTTGTTCCGGGTCAAGGGGAAGGGACTCATTTCAAGGTAAAATAGTTCTAAGAGGGAATCTGGAAGTGGAGATGCTAACTACACACCCCATGCTACCTTGTTCCCTAAACAGATACCTGAGTTAACCAGACTTTTATTTTTTTATATTGAAATTGTTTTTCTGACTTCAATAATCCCTAGGCTTGTATCAGCTTGTAACCCTCGTGATAAACTTGGTATCTTAATATGATCAATTACATGTTCTGAAACAATGGACAAAACTGGCTATACATGGTAATGTAATACATTAAGAAAACACCAACTTTGTAACTAAAAAGTCATTTCAAAATTATCTAGGTGCAAATAGGAGAGGGCTTTTTAAATTACCTCTTTTGTTAGGCTGTATACCAGTTTGTACATAAGCGGTGTACAATCAATTCTCAAAGTGTAGTTTCCTGCAACATGAGAATAGAAGCATACAACATCTCAAAACAAATAATAAGAATGTTTGTCTTTCCTTTTCCAATATCTAAGCATTAGAGACTCTAAGAACAGAGATTAACATCAAGATGAACATTATTTTGAAATAATTCTTTCTGGAAACTTCTGATTCTTCTCATTTAGAAAGGCAGTCCGATAAAAAGAGAAGATGTTTGTATCCCCCTAAGCAGAAATAATCTTTTAGAGGGCAAGGGATTTTTTTTTTGTTTGTTTCTTGTTCTTTGTTCTTTCTATTTTCAGCACCCAGCACAGTGCTTTGTACATGGTAAGTGACTAATAAATGCTGCTGGTTTAAGCTAGATTGGGCAAAAAAAGAGCAGCACTCATGGAGGAAATCTGTGGTAAACTAGCTAATGTCAAAATGCTGACCCGCAAAAGCTGGGGAGAACAGTTGACATCCAAGGGCCTGGAAAGAAGAAGCTCATGCAAAGCGCTGCTTGACCCAGGAGAATTAGAATAGCTATAACCCTATAGAGGTCCTTAGCAAGAATGTTCAAATTGTGACTCCCTGAGGCACTTATTTTAAAGTATGGCGCGCGCGCGCGCGCGCGCGCGTGTGTGTGTGTGTGTGTGTGTGTATGTGTGTGGTGGGGGGAGGGGGAGGGAGGAAATAGAAAAGGCAGTTTTATTACAACAAATAACACATAAAGAAAGATGAAGAAAAAAAATACTTTGTTTACTGTGACCCCAGCCTCATTCAAGTAAACAATATGTGTCTTTTTTTCTTTATCCTCCTTTATATGTGATTTGTTGTAATGAATCTGCCTTCCTTACTATTTTGAGCCACTATGCTTGCAAGGATGAAAGTGAAAATGCATTGATTTTCCTAGGATTCTTGGTGAAGCTCTCACTAAAAAGCAGAGAAATAGCCCCCAGTTTATCCATAAACAAGGCACTTCATATCATAGAAGGCCCTGGGATAAGTGTTACATTAGTTTATCAACTTAATATGTAACTCCAAATAAGGAAAATAGGACAGCAAATATGGGCATTTGCCTATAGTCTAAAAACTAATCAATTACATGCTTTGTAAACTTACTTAAGGATCACATAGAAGACACCTCAAAAGTGTAAAAGTGTCCCCATCTAGGAATCAAATTCCATTCTCCCAAGTGGGAACATCTAATTCTAAACTAAAGAAAAAAAAAAAAGAGAATAATCACTGACATAAATCAAAAGAGTATGTAATGGAGGGATTAACTACCTATAACCCACTTTTATGTAAAATGTCTATTTATCTATGATATCCATCTTTCTACCTGTCTATATATCAATCTATGACTGTCTATGTATTTCATTCATCTAGGAGCATCTATATATCTATTTATCTCTTCATCTATGAGTGTCTATATATGTATCCCTACATCCATTGTTCTATGAGTGTCTATCTCATCCCCTTAATAAAAGGATTTGTTCTGTGAAGTCTGCATTCAGTCAAAGGGCTGCACTTGAGCCCCTAGAGGGCCACATCAAGGCCACAGGTTCCCCACCCCTGGTCTATCTCTATGTCTTGTAGCGAGGTTGTTTAGTGAATAGAGCACTGTGCCTGAAGTCAGGAAAACTTGAGGTCAAATCTGGCTTCAGATGCTTACTAGTTATGTGATCCTGGGCAGGTTATTTAACCTTTGTTTACCTCAGTTTCCTCAACTGTAAAATGGGGATAACAGTACCTACCTCATAGGGTTATGAGCTTCAAATGAGTTACTATTTGTGAAGCAGTTAGCACAGTGCCTGGCACATAGAAAGTGCTACATACTTATTCCCTTCCTACTTCCCCTTCTGTACATCTACCTAATAGAGTGTCTGTCTGTCTGAGTGTCTATCAATCCACTTCTCTACCAGAATGACTATCTCTCCACTTATCAACTTGTTTATCGATGTGAATGTCCAGCTATCCATCAGTCTTAGTCTTCACGTTTACAAAGTGCTTTCCTCACAACAATCTTATCAGGGAGTGAGTCCATGCATGACTACTCCCAATTTATAGGTAACAAAGCAGGTTCAGAGAGATGAGTTGAACTGCCTGTCATTATAAAGCTACTACGTGTTAGAACTAGAATAGAACTAGCTTTGAATGGATCTTTCAGTTCTCATGTAAAACCAAGGGAAAACATACAAAGAAATCGAGTAAAAGAAAAGAGTTGGTATAAGAGTACTCATCAGTAGCAACCTATGAACATAGAACTAGAAATCAGGAGATCAGGGTTCTAAATCTAGTTGTGAATTTGGGGGAAAAAAAGTCACTCTCTCATGGCATCCCTTCCCTCATCCACAAAATAAGGATAACTTTAGTTCCTCCTTCATAGGTGAGGATCAGTTCAAATTGCAAATGCAATTAAAATTGCAAATCATTTTAAAGCCCTATATAAGTATCAGATGTTGTCATCATCACTCCAACAAATATTAAGCTTAATATGAAAGTATTTAAAATTTCTATAGTATTTACTTCCATACCTATAGGAAGTGAGCCCTCTTTTTTAGTTTTAAAATTCTTTCCTTGAGTATTTCTTCAATGGATCTTCGATTTCACTGATGTGGGTGTTCCCCACATTGCGACCTACCCATTCCTTCTCATTCTGTATTAATTCTTATTCATCTTCTCCCTCAGATCCTTAAACAGAGAGTCTATCTGCCTAATGGGCTGGGGGCTTTTCTGTAGGATTTATCACATTTTGGAACCACCAGTGCAGGAGTTAGCCTGTCCATCCATTATGCCTTACTCTTTCTACATGATCAGTCCCCTCCTTTTCCAATTATACATTTGCTCAATGATATCCCCTGTATACAAATCATCTTTGGAAATAGGCTACTACTACTTGTATCCTGCCCCTCTCCCTTTCCCCTTGAATCATTTACAGCTTTAATTCTTTAGAAGCTATGAGGTTCTCAAAAATTAACAGCTATAAAGCATCAATGAGAGAACATTTGTGCTCCGACTCATCTTTCAAAATGGCTTAATGTTTGCACAGCACTGTAAAAGTGTTTGAGAGGCTTTTAAAAATATAACCAAGAATTTTAAAATTTCCATATCCTTCTGAACATCTGTGAAATTTTCCTAGGCAAAGGAGAGTTGGGTTCAAGGTCAGGTCTTCTCTCATGTTAGACACATGGGCTACAGAGTCAAGTCTTCTCTATCTAGGTTTAATCTCATGATTGATACCTCTATTACCTCTAAGGACTACAACATAAATGTCAGATAAAAATGTCCTGAATGGATAGCTATTGACTTCCCTACCTCAGAAACAATAAATGTATGCTTAGAGAATGGCAGCCTGTCCCTTTTGAGCTATTTCTGCACATAAATATCTGAATTGCTACTGAATAGAATTGTTTAAAAAAAAAACTACAAAATTATAAATAATTAAATCCCTTTCTTAATATCAAATAATACTTACCTTCTACAGAAGAATCTGCATTAATATAAGCCACTCCACGTTCTAGAAGTACTTTGGAATTTTCCTAGAAAAAAAGAAGAAGTATGCATAAACATCTTATCTCTCCTCTCTTTCTCTATCTCCCTCTCCTCAAAAAAAAAAAATGTAATAGAGCTTTAGGTTTAAACTGAATAACAATATTCTATCTTGCTTGAGAACGCAATCACTTCTATTTTTAGAAAGCAATAAAAATCATGGAGTACTGTAAAGAAATCAAAGATATCAAAGCTACCTCAAACACTGATGTTTAAAGGAGTAATGGTTTACATCGAACCAAGTGAATCAATTTGGAGCATATATCTTTTAGACAAACTCAGCCCTATTTTGTATACCCATTCTCTTGGAAAACTGTCTGACACATTTGGTCCTCTGGATCCCAAACCTCCTTAATTTTGGATCCACAGTTCAGATCTTGCACATGCTTCATGTCTTCTGCCTCTCCCCTTCCTATACCACCTTCTACCCCATTCCCTCCCTGATAATCCTTTTTAACTCCATTACCCTGAACAATATTATCTAGTCACCATTTCAGTGAGTCCTGGAATAGAGTTCATCTGACCAAGGATTGGATGGTTAGCAGCCTTAAACATGTCTAACCTTTCAATAACCAATCAAAACCCGGGACTCTTCCAATCCCTCCTTTAAACAACAAACAAGGCCAGAAACTTCTAATTGTCCTTGCCACCGTATATGTCCATACCCTACCACCTCTACAGCTTTCTTCAGTGATCAAATCAACATTATCATTGCTACTGTGAAGTGTGTAAAAATCTATTGCCCTATGATTCCACTGAAATTGATATGAATATGAATCCTAAGCTGCCTAGGCCAAAATACTCTTCCCTAGTCGATATTCCTTGATCCCTCATATCAATCTATGTGGTTGCCATCCCTCTGGGGTCTCTATTCCACTCTATCCTACTTTTCTCTCCTACCTTCCGGAACCCTGTTCTATAGTTACCACAGTTCTCTTCATATTCAAAGCATGCTGTCTCCCAAATAGAATGTAAGCTCCTTAATGTAAGGGGCTGTTTTTGTTTTTTTGCTTTTGTATTTTGGCACAGTCAACTTGGCATATTCTAAATTCCAAGTGACTATGAGAAAGTAAAAGTCTGCCTACTTTTTTAGAATGAAGATTTCATTACAACACAGTATTGACTAACCTCAGCCCACTCAGTAGACCCCAATAGACCAAATTCTTCAGCATCCCAGCTAGCAAATATCATTGTTCTTCTTGGCCTCCATCCTGGAAACAATAGCAAAATATATAGAGCCTTAGAAAACACTCCATATAAGTGAGAGTCAGGATCACAATAACTTATATGTTTATTAAGTTTATCAAGAACACCAACCAATTTGACAGATAAACTAATATGTCATTCCTAATTTTTTAATTCAAATTTTCATTTCAATTATATTAAACAAATAGTTATTAAACATCTAATACATTTATGGCACTATGCATAGAAGTGAGGATACAAAGACAAATAGTAACCTAGTCCCTGTCCTCAAGGAGATTACAATCTATCCCATGGCATGTGCACAAATTTAATTAACAGATATTTATTAAGCACCCAATATGCACAGGGCATTGTTGGGGTCCTGAAGATTATCTTGAGATTTCTGGCCTTAGGATTCCTATATAACTACAGGGTTATGGGATCCTTCTTTCAGGCAAAGGTCAGCATAGCAGAGACAGCAAAAGTTGAGTGCAATTCAATTTATGGTTTTAAGAAACATATCTATTGTTTGAAGTCTCCTTAGAATCAATAGCAGAGTTAAAGGGTTTGTACCCTATAGCATAAATATGTACCCATGCAAGCCTACTAGTAGGCAGGAAGACACTCAAGTCAAGTGTGGTAAGTTAGTACATAAGTGTAGTGAAGTATGATCCTAAAATTTTCTCCATGGCTCTATCCCCTTTCTCCAGAAGCAAGAAGGAACACTTCTAATTTTATGGAAAGGTACTAAATAACCCCTCTCCTATTCTTATTGAGGAAAATTAATAATAACCTCTCAGAGCCTCAGTTTTCCCATTTGAAAAGTGGATATAATAATAATAACTCATACAGCAACAACTAACAAGTTCAAAGTACTAAACTTGGATACAGGGAAACTTGGATTTGGTCCCACCTTTGACATGTATCAGTTTGGTGAACCTAGGCAAGTTATTTAACCTTGATCCTTTTTGTCTGCTTATGTCAGATGGCTATTATGAGGAAAGATCTTTGCAAACTTTAAAGCATTATAGAATAAGAATTGTTTAGTCTAAATAATAATGGCACTAAAATCAGTTTAACTCTAATTAACTGAAATAACAAATCCTGATTAAGAGAATGGAAGAAGTAACCATCCCTCTTTGTCTATAGAGAGGCTGTTCTCTTCTGAAATGGAATAGAGTATACATTGTCAAACAAGGTCATTGTATCTATTGATTTTGCTTCTAAGCATATGTTAAAGGAAGTGGGGTATTCAAGGGGAAAGGACTATGGATTTAAAACAAAAATGAATTAAAAAAGAAAATAAACAAAATCTTAATGGGAGGGGGAATGAATTGTTACTATCATTACCATCCTCCACTCTTGAGGTGATTAAGTTCTAAAGCAAAAAATATAGGGACCAGAGGCAGCTTAGAGATCCTGTAGCCTGCTGGGACAGATCAATTTGTTAGTCACATATGGGAAGCAGATTAGGATTCCTTTACAACGTCAGCCTGTGGCTCCTGGGACAGATGAAGGATTGTTTCATATCAGTTCTGAAGTGTACCTTCATTCCGAGTGTACCCTCATGCCAAAAGCTTTCCGCAGTGTTAGCAGTACCATAATGTTCTATTGTTGGATCTTTATCTTGGGTCCCAATTCCAGGAGACTGCAATGCATATCACAATTGTACAGCAGATCCTTTAAATTCAGAGCATTCTATGAGTTTTATGAGTTCTCAATATTTATGCAAATTCAAGAAATGAAGAGAATCAATGTCTTCTAATTTTTACCTATAATCAAGAAAATATTAGAGACTTTGGTTGAATATTTTTCTTTTAGTATTTGAGTTTGTTATTGTGGCATATACTCAATCTTGAAAATTTGACCTACAACTCAAGGGTAACGTATTTATATCTTTCAAAAAGCAACCCAGACGCATTTTTTCTACTCTCCTTAGGAACCCAAACCACAAAGTCTCCACAGTTTTAGTATTCAAGACAGAGCAACACAAGAAATTGCAAGATGTGGGCTTAAAACACTAAAAGCCAAACTCCATATGATTTTAGTTATCAACCTTGCCACCAGAGAAAAGAAAAGGAAATGGACCATCCTATTTTCATTAAAAAAAAAAAAAAAAAACAAAGCCCACAACCCTGAAGGAAGATGGGTATGGTGTTAATAAGTCTCTATTGTTGGTTCTGTTTAGAGACCTTACCCTAATGGATTTAAAATACCGAATGACAGAAAAAAACCACTAAAATGTAACTTTAACACAATATTATAACTATCAAATAATTCCTGGGACTACAGGTTAGTCTAAATAAATAAAGTATTTGAACAATAATATTTGACTTTACATACTGTTGTCATTTCCAAGCGTCAAATGACCTGATATGGAAATATGTATCTGCTTTCTAAGTACTATATTGGGCTAAATATACATTAAAATACATATAACACCAGCAGACAGATTCCAGGGGCATATTGCTGAGCTGATTTGATAGGTTAGATAGATAGGCTGTGTCAAACAATCAACTGGAACACAAAAATGTAATCCAAATTCAGATGAATAAAATTTTAATTTAGTTATTGTGGGCCTCAACAACCACATTTAATAACTTTTCGTGATAATTCCCCTTAACAAGCTTTTATTAAATGCCTACTGTGTGCAAGGTGAGTGTTAGTAGAAAGAGGGCCAGACTTTGAATTGTGAAATCATACTTCTATTCAAGTCTTCTGACTTGATACTTCATTGGTATTAGTGGTAGGTAGAGTTTTAGAGCTATGTAGATGATCTGGATTTTTCTGGGTCCCACATGTTGCCATATTTCCACAATCCTCTCATACCTTAAGTTCGTAAAGCACTGTCTTCATAATGACCTTATAAGATAGATAAGGCAAGTATTATATTCATTTTGCAAATGAAGAAATTGAGGCAGCACCACACATTTGGTATGTATCAAAATCTAGATTCTAAAGCTAATCTACATGTGACAGAGTGATCTTGCCAGTCACCAGAAGATGGGAAAGAGATAAGAATCTCAGTGGCATTAGAGGAGTTATTTCATAAATTATTAAGGGTTTGACTACTTACACCCTTAGCTGAAACAGGGATTGAGAGGGAAAATAAAGGAGGGGACTGACTAAACAGGAACAGGGACCTAGTGTATGTGTAATTAGTTGCCTGAGCTTGCTGGCAGATCAGTGTTTGGGCTCCATCTGGTGGCTAACATAGATATAGCATCCTAAGGATCTACTCTAATCCTTTTACTCTAAAGGTAGAGAGCAAATGCTCATGTAGCATGAGGCACTTCCTCTTAATACTACCTTTACCTCTCCCAGTACTCTGCACAGTTACCCTATGCTCCTGCCAAAACTGACTCTAGGGAGAGCCCACATAAAACTGTAAAACTCTACTATAACAACGATCATCTTTGGTGGCTCTTCATTACCTCTAAGATAAATTATACATTTCTCCGTTCATCTCCACTTTTGGGCTCCAGCCTACCTTTCCATTTTTATTTTACATTGCTTCCCTTTAAATAATCTACAGCAGTGGTGTGAAACTCAAATAGAGACAACAAAATCATACAAACAGATCATGTAGGCAGCATATTGACTTGGAAAACCAAATGTTCACATTATCTCAATTCCACTGTAATTTTATTTTGTTAAAAGATTTCTCAATTACATATTAATCCAGTTTGGGTGCACTCAGAAGTGTTGCTACCAGAGTATGCTTGCTGCCACTGTACTATATTCCAACCACCCAGGACTAAATTCAATATTCTATCCTCCGCTTTAGAATAAGTTGTTCCCTACCCGAAGTATACTCCCTCCCCATCCCTACTTATCAGAATCTTTATTTTCTTTAAAGGTTCAGCAGGTGAAAACTTCCCTGATGTCCTCAAATTCCTAGTGCTCTTCTCCTTAAACTACCTTGTATTTATTTGTCCATGTACATATTATATGGCTCCAGGAACATATGCATTCCTTGAAGGCACAGGGTCTTTTTATTTTTGTCCTTGTATCCTCAGCTCTTAGAGCAATGCTTTGTGCATAGTAAATGCTTAACAAATGTTGGATAAATTGACTGGAATTGAATAAACCCATAATATTGTAGTAAAGACAGACTAACTTTTTTTTTTACAGTCTGAAATAAAAAGCTTGACATTATATCTATGCTAATTTACTTAGGAATATTTTTGAAATTTCACACAGCTCATTATATAATTTGTAAAGGCAGCCTTTATGATCCTGGTGGGGAAAGAGTTCTACATTATTCTAGCAGGATGGAAGAGTCACAGACTGGACAACAGTACACGTGAAAAATATTTAGAGAACTTTTAGTGGACTACAAACTTAATAAATCAGTATTATGAAATGGCAGCCAAAGATATTAACATGAACCAAGAGTACATTTATGCATGAGTGTCCAGAAAGAAGGAGGCAATATTGCCATTGCTGTCAATTTGGGTCATTCTGTATCTCAAATGTTGCATTCAGTTCCAGGTGCCATATTTTGGAAGGACATTGACAGGATGAATTATGTAAAGAAGAGGAGAGCAGAATTAGGGAAAAAAACTGAAAAATATGCCATATGAAAACAGACTGAAAAAAAAAAATGGAGATATTTAGCCCAGAGGAGAGAAGACAACATGTGAGTTGTTTTCAAGTATTTGAAGGGTTCAAATGTGGGACTACAAACAATGGGTGGCAGTTACAGTGAGGGATAGTTCAGGTCAACATAAGGAAAAACTTTCTAACAACTGGAGTCATCCTAAAGAGGAATAGGGTGCTTCTATTTCTGTAGGAAGTGTGTGTTCCATCACTAGCATTCTTAGTACAGATATTCACTTGTAGGGGATGATATAGAATAAGTCAAGTATGTATTTCAGTAGATGACCTTTTTGGTCCCTTTCAACTTTCAGCTTCTATGAGTAAATGGTCAAAAACATGCAACCTTAAAAGTAAACATTTTTTTGAGCATCTATGGTAACCCCTATAGCAACTTTAAACATATCTTACTCATAGTTTAAGTTCAGTAAGTGTGCTAATTGACTGATTTGAATTTAATTGAATCTTTACCTCTTCAGTTCTTGAGTTACATTACCTTCCCTTTTCAGTTTTCCATAACTCCTCACAATCTCATGTACTACAGCAGCTCCACTCTGAGGATCAATGCCACCAAACACCCATGAGTCACGATGACCTCCCAGAATTACATACCTGTCTACAAAAATCATCACAAAAATTATGAGGGCTCAGAGATGATTAGGAGACGCCTAATCAACTGATTTCTCCCCAACACTGTTAATACACAGCAATAACAAAATTACTCTTCAATAATCATCAAATCTAAGGGTAAGGTAATAGAAATGATGAAGTAATAAAGTCTTAATCAAAATAGAAGGAAGGGTTTATACTGTTAGTCCTTTATAAGATATGAAGTTCCTCAGTCAAACTTGATAGAATTAATGTGTCTAGACATTGAGACCTTCTAAAAATAGGCCTCATTCTTACTTTGTAGGCATGAAGTTCCTTAGTCACATGTGCATTTTCTTCATGTGTACCCCTCTATTAGTGAACTCTATGTGTATGTCCACTTTTTTCACTGATATATTGTGTAGTTGTGGAAGAGTGTACCTCAGTTTATGGGAGAAAGGTTTATAGCCACTATCCTTACTATGCCATTACAATAAATGGCTTAGGTCTGAGTTAACTATGTCTACTGACTGCCTATAAAAAGTATGCACACTGGTGGGGACTCTTCAGCTATAATTTTACAATAACAGACCCACCTGAGGTAGCTATCCCATGAGAAATCTATTCCAGGAAAAGGAGACTGAAGAGCTGTTGCATTTCAAAAGTATCTATGCAAAATTTAAGAAGTTCAATTACACCTAAAAACAGAGGAGGCCCATCCCCTTAGATTGTAAGCTACATAAGGGCAAGGAAAATATGTATCTAAACTTTGTATCCCTTTAGCATAAAGCCTAGTGTTCTATTAAACAAACATACAGTAGGTATTTGATATATGTTGAATTGAATTTAATCATAATATAGGATAGTTTCCAGCTTATGAGATGGTTTTTTGGTTGGCTGTTCAGAAATCAGAAAGCTCTTTCCCATCCAGAAAATATTACAATTTTGCCAGTTTAATGTACAAAAGTCTGCTGAAGAGAATGGTGCTTCTAAACCAATTTCCAACTACTCCTCATAAGTATTCATAATATCGTTTCTGTGGGATCTAAGTTCCTTAAGGACAGAGACAATTGTTTGTTTTGTTTTCTTTTTTCTTTTTTTTCTTTTGGTTTTTGTTTTTAGGCAATTGGGGTTAAGTGACTTGCCCAGGGTCACACAGCTAGCAAGTGTCAAGTGTTTGGTCTGAGGCCGGATTTGAACTCAGGTCCTCCTGACTTCAGGGCCGGTGCTCTATCCACTGCGCCACCTAGCTGCCCCTTGTTTTGTTTTCTTTGAGAATCTTTTTTTTAGTCACCAGAAACTAGCAGAGCAAGCAGTTAATAAACGCTAATTGAATTGCAGAAGAATTCATTCCGAATTCCAAATCACCAACAAACCATTATATTTGGGTTAGGAGTGTGAGGGAGAGTAGTACTGCTGAGTATTGGCTACTTTTTTGGTCTCCACAGTAGATACAGTACCTCCCTATATTTTACTTATGAGATACCTCTAGGTCAATCACTCCTCAGGTATTTTGAATTGAGGAACAAAGGTTTTCTTAGGATTTAGAACTGTTCTTCTAGTTCTCATTTTACAAATGAAGCAACTGGGATTAGAGAAGCAAGTGACTTGCTCAGGTCAAAGAGTTTATATGCAGTTTTCTGGGATTGAAAACCATATTTTTTTACTCCACATACACTGCTATTTCCACTACCCTAAACTCCCACTGAGATTATGAGAGGCAGCTTGACAGAAAGCTGGTCTTGGAATGAGAAAGAATACCATGCTATACCATGCTGCTGTATACTAGTGATGTGACCCTGGGAAAGTCACTAAACCTCTTGCTTCTTGGTTCCTGCTTCCTGGGCAGGGGTAAGGAAGAAGCTTCTTACATTTACTCCTCAGGTCTTGGTAATTCCCTCTATCTGATCAGATTCTGAGGGTTCATTCTGTCAACAGGTTGGTAGGGCTTACTTCGTAAAGCGCTGTTATAGTTGTAGCCCTATAATCATTTCCTAAAGGAAATACTCTCATATATAGCAGTCAATCATTGTTGACTAATGATAATAACAATTATTAACCCTCATAGGAAGCTGTATTATGTGTTTGGTGGACAAAATTCAAATTTCATTTAAAATGTGAACACGGCAAGGAAAAACTCCATATCCAGAGAATGCCTGCTAGTAAGAGAGGAATATAATTTAATCATATGGTTTATATGAGTGAATGGTTACAATAGTGAAACGAAATATTTTCCATGGAGTAACCTTTTAAACTTTGAACCTGGAAACTGAGGCACAATCTAATAAAACTGAGATGGGGGCAATCTCACTTCAGCTTCAACAGAGGCAGCTGTGTTGAACATCTGGCAGCTGGCAAGAACACAACCTTGGAAGTCTGAACACCAAACTCAAGCCTTGCTCTGCTTCTTACTACATGGAGGAAACCTCTTTACCTCTCCTGTGTCAGTTTCCTCATCTGTCAAATGAAGAGGTTGGACAAAATATCCTCTTAACTCCTTTCCTTCTTTAAATCCTATGCCCAACATGGAAAATCTATGAAATAGTGAAAATCCCCCTATAAAATCCATTTCTCATGTTAGGTAAGTCTTAGAATAACCTGAAGAATGTTTGTATACATAGAAATACTTAGAGGGGCATAACAGTAGATTATCAAAAGTTAAAATCATAGCTTAATTTTAGGAAGCTACGAACTCAAACTAGCCAGCTTCCACATACACAGTTTCCAAAATAGTGATTTCACTAACAGAGAATAAAACTGTGCAGGAAAGGTATATGTAATCTTAAAGTCAATTCTGAAAGTGCTTCTGAGTATTAATGGGGAACTTAAAAAAATCAAATTATTTATAAAGACTACTAAAACATAAAGCTTCTCTGGAAAGGGTAGTAGTATCTTTGGAATTGAAGGAACCAGATTCTAGCCATGCAACTTGATATCTGTGTCTTCTTAGGTAAGTCTCATCGTGTCTCAGGACTCAGCTTCCTCATCAGCTGGACTAAATGATTTCCAACATCTCTATATCTTATGATTCTAAAAGCAATAGTTTTGGAGTCAGACACTGGGATCGTGTATTATAAAACAGGGTTCAAATATAGGAGTATGAGGAAAAGACTAGAAATAATGTAAAGAATATCTGGATTACAATTACAATTTTGACACTATAAACTTGTATGTCCTTAATCAAGTTAATTTAACCACTCTGCCCTCAGTTTCCACATCTGTAAAATAAAGGAAGGAACTGAACTAGATGTATGCAAGGTCCCTTCCATGTAGAAAATCTTATGATCCCATTAAGCAGATAAGATTTATGTATGTAACTCCTTAAACTTCTATCTATACTCATGCTGGTCCCTGCTCACATTGGTAATTTAGAAAACAAATACTTTACCTGGTTCCACTGCTCCTCTTAGAGTTCCAATCACATTGTAAATCCTTGTTACTTTATTGTTGCTGTGAATATTCATTTTGACTTTTCTAACACAATTAAAAAAAAACATTAGCATTGTAAGTTCATAGCCACCAAAACACACCGATTTGTTATATAGTTTTTCTTCCTCACCCTTCCCTCTCATCCCCTTCCCCCCTTTATTTCCTATATATGTATATGCATAAGTATGTTTGTATGTGTATGAATATCCATGTGTATGCATGTATATATGCATATATATAGATAGGTATATTGCTACATGTGTATATGTCTACATATATATACATGTATATTTATATATATGAGCATGTATATGTGACAGGCAGCAAGGCTTACTAGTCATTTGGCTAGCCTTGGTTTAAGAAAGAACTGAGTTCAAATCCTGCCTCTCCAGAAGCAGAATATCAAGTACATGCAGAGTAATTGAGAGATGAAGAAAATCTCAACCACTGAGGATCATCAGGAAAGGCCTCATGAAGAAGGTGGCCCTGGAGTTGAATCTTAAATGGAGCAAAGGATTCTCAGAGACATAGGTGAGGAGGAAGAGCATTCTAGGCAGAGAGGACAGCCAACACGCAAAAGCACTGAGGTGGGGAGACAGGATGCTGGGCAAGAGAAATAGCAAATAGGCTAGTTTGTGTGAAACCGAGCACATGAGGGGCAGGACTGAGATATCATTCTAGAACAACAGACTGTCAGCAGAATGTGAAGGGTTTTTAAATTCCAAAAAGTGAAAATTAAATTTGTTCTAAAGACCATAGGGAGCCACTAAAGAAGCGTTTTGAGTAGGAAGAATCATGTTCAGTCCTACATTTCAGAAATATTAATTTGGCAATTGAGTAAATGACAGATTTATGAGGGAAGAGATTGGAAGCAAGGAGGTCAGTTAGGACACCATTGTAACAGTCTAAAGTCAAGTTATCCAGCTCATTTATAGACGAGGACATGAAAAGTCAGACACGACTCACTGACTGAACAGTGTCAAGTTATGATCTTATACCTCTTCTCTCTTTCACAATTTAGAAATGTCTAGAAGTTTCTAAACCCATTGTCTAGACTTGAACTCCCCCTACTTGCTTATGAACCCTTTGAAGTATGCCTTACCACCTTGGGATGGAACTGAAATTGTTTTCTCTAAGGCTATAAAATGATCTCTTAATCTCTAAATTTTATGACCTGTTTTCATTTCTCATTCTTCTTGACCTATCGGCAGTGTTTGACATTGTTTACCCTCCTCCTGGTGACTCTCTTCTCCTTGGGTTGTTGGGTTCTTTTTTTGGGGGGGGAGGGGAGGATGTGGCATTGCTTTCTCCTCATTCTTCTACCAGATTTATCATTTCTTCTCAGATTCCTATGCTACATCGTTATCCTAGTCACTTCTTCCCTCATTTAGAATTATCCCCTAGGGATCCTTTCCCCTCTTCTCTTTTCTATCTGTCATCTCTCTTAGTGACCCTATCAGTTTTCAGATCCTAATCTCTAGAATGATTCCAGTCCTGCATCACCACAGAACTGCCTGTTTAATACCCTAGGAGGGGACATGGAAGGCATGGAATCAGAGACATCAACAGGGAGCATCGGGCATGATGATCTTGGGACTCTGGCAGGAAAAGGCAGGCCATAATGGCCTCAGATTCCTGGTCCACACTTTTGAGGGCAGATCAAGCAGTTCTGGGGTGATGGTACCTGCAGAGGTCAGAGTGGCTCTCAGATTAGGCAAATATGCATTCAAGGTTTAGGGACACTTCAGGATTAGAATGCATCATGTGTTTTCATAGGAAGGGAAAGGAATTTGCTCATGTGAGTCTGATTGATTTCCCATCCCTGGAGGTGCCAGTTAGCTAGGAAACTAGAAATTACTGGCCGAGAATGTTCCAAGGAGAGAAGTTTCCAGATACAGAAGAGACAAGGTTCCAGAGAAAGGTGCAGAATAGATAGGAGGAAGTACTGGGTAGGAGGAAGGTAAATGACTAGGAAGGAGATAGCCTTATGGTCAAAGAAAGAGTAGACAAGAAAAATCAGAGTTTTTCTGGACTATTCCACTATTTGTACTCCAAACTTTCCATTCTCTATTCTACTACTTTTCTATTCACCTAGGTTCATAAGCTTGGCTCTTCCCTCCACCTCATTCCAAATGTGCATCCTGCTGTCAAGACCTAGCAAGTCGACCTCCACAATAACATCTGACAGCCAACCCTTTTCTCTAATCACATCATTACTCCCCTAAGGTCAGTTGGCAACTCATCACCTATTGCAACAGCTTCCCTTCTAATTAGTCTCTTGGTTTCAAGTCTCCTTTCTCCCATTCATCCTTACTCATCTCCCAGAGCAAACCTTTTAAAGCACCAATGACCAGGGCACAGTAATGTTCAAGAATCTTCAGCAACTCCCTGTTAACTCTAGGATAAATTACAAACTTTTCAGCTTAACATTTAAAGGCTCTCACAGTCTGGCTCCACTGTCTTTGCAAGCTTATTTCACATGTTACATTTTCTAGGTTCAAGTCAGCATTCTCTCTCCCACCTCTGTGAAAAGGCAGAGACTTTCTCCCATTAATAGATACATTCCTTACTCACCTCCATCTCTTAGAAACAGTAGCTTCCTTCAAGGCTCCCTCTCCTCTCCTCTCTTCTCTCCTTCTCTTACCTGAGGGTGTTCTGCCCAAAGGAAGGTAAATTTTGATGGCCAAAAGCTACCTAGTTAACTTGGGGTTTACTGGCTAGATTTCTTTCTCAAAGACCAAGCCTTAAAAACAATTCACTCTGGATCTCCAGAATCACGACAATAGGTCCCTGCCTAATCACCACTTAATGGTTATTATTTGGGCCCTCCAGGCTCAGAGTGAATGTAAAGAGTAACTATTTCTCTTTTGGGCAGCAACTCTGAGGGTCTTCCCCTCCCAGTTTGATTTTTTTTTAATTACAGGTGCCATCCCTTGACTCACTTTTTTTTTTTTTTTTTTAGTTAGGCAATGGGGTTAAGTGACTTGCCCAGGGTCACACAGCTAGTAAGGGTTACGTGTCTGAGGCCAGATTTGAACTCAGGTCCTCCTGAAACCAGGGCCGGTGCTATATCCACTGCACCACCTTGCTGCCCCACCTTGACTCACTTCTTAAAGAGGCCTGTTCACTGAATGGTGCATTGTCTCACTCAAAGGGAGAACTTGAAAAGACCTTAGCTTAAAAGGGCCAAGGTCTCCCACTGCATCCTGGGCCATCTCCAGTCGTCTTAATGAATGAATGAAGCCACTGGACCTAGACGGCTCTGGAGGAGAAAGTGAGGCTGGTGACTTTGTACAGCTCTCCCTCACTCAAATCAAAATCAATTGCAAGTCATGTCATCATCTCCCTGATGTCATGGTCCTCTTCAAGAATGAAGGACATGGGTTCAAATCTGGCCTCAGACTCTTGACACTTACTAGTTGTGTGACCCTGGGCAAGTTACTTAACCCCTGATTGCCTCACAAAAAAAAAAAAAGAGATACATTGGGTCAGCTAGGTGGCGCAGTGGATAGAGCCCTGGCCCTGAAGTCAGGAGTACCTGAGTTCAAATCCGGCCTCAGACCAAACACCAGACACTAGCTGTATGACCCTGGGCAAGTCACCCAATTGCCTAAAAAAAAAAAAATAAAAGAATGAAGGACAAACCACATAACATATACATACACACACACACAATGCATCACCTCTTCCATGAAGTCTTTCTCAACCTCCATAACTAATTACACTGTTTTCCTCCTCAGGAAGAATTGGTATAATTATCTGTTTACATGTTATATTCTCTCATCAGTAGAATATAAACTTCTGGAGGGTAAGTATGGCCTTATACTTTATCTTTTTCTCCCCAAAGCTAACACAGTATACCTTTCACATTTAGGGGTGCAGGAGGGAGTGTATGTTTTCTAGACCTGTGATTTCATTTGTGTAGAGAGCTCCCAGTGTCGAAACTCCTTGCACTGATAGTTGGCAACCCATCCGTAAACTATACAGCTTTAGAATTGCCTGTGCCGATGAGGAAATAAGTAACCGACCTATGATCATAGTAAGTATATATCAGACACCAGAACATGAATCCAGACATTCCTTCTTCCAAAGCCAGCCCCATATTGTTGAAACTATGATGCCTCTTGCTTTGCAAATAGTAGGACCTTAATAAATGCTTGTTAGATTGGATTGGATTGCTGAAGGCTACAGCAAGACTTAGGAGAGTTTTTACAGAGTATTGTACTATGAAACTGGCCTCCTTGATAAGAGAGTCCATCTCCTGACTTTAGGCAATTTCATTGGCTGTTTCCTATGCCTGGAATTCTCGTCCTCCTTATCTCCATCCCCTGGCTTCCTTCAAGTCCCAGCTAAAATCTTATCTTCTACAAGAAGCCTTTCCCAGTCCCCCTTAATTCTAATACCTTCCCTCTGTGATCATCTCTAATTTGTACTGTGTGTATCTTCTTTGTACATAGTTGATTATATGTCTTCTCCCCCAGTGGACTGTGAGTTCCTTGAGAGCAGGGATTACTTTTTGTTTTGTTTTGTGTTGGTTTTGTTTTGGGATTTTTTTGGTTTTTTTTGGGGGGGGGGGGTTTGCATTTATTTGAACACCCAGCACTTAATGAAGTACCTGGCAGCTATTAAGCACAGATGATTAGTAAGTGCTTTTTGACTTTACTTAAAGCCACAACTTTTTTTTATTGTTAATAATTTGTCACAATATATCATTTTTGTTTTATAACTTCTCTGCATTTATGGATACATCACATCCCATACTTCAGTGCTTTAGGAAGCTTTGATTTCATTGGGGAAGGTATTCCATGCAATAAGGCAAATCACAAGCCCTCTGTAATTTAATTAGTAGTTTTCAAGTACTGCTATGGCCACCTTGGTGAGCCAGCTATACTAGACCCTAGACAGCACATACACTGTTACAAAGATAAATTCGAAGCTCTTTCACACTGATATAAACCTGCCAAAATCTGCAGTCCACGTGCATAGCCTTTGGGAATCCAGATTGAACTTCTTTTTAAGATAACGCTATAGAGGCCGGAATAATATATTAGTTTACTTACTGATGATGAACTATTTCAGAATCTGAAAAATCTGTTTCCCTGCTGTTTTGCTATAAAAATATTTTTTTTCTGAAGAAAGCCACTTCCTTAGTAAGTCTACAAACATTTATTAAGTGCTTACTATATGTGCTAGGCACAGAGCTAAGTGTCAGGGATATGAAGAAAGTCAAAACACTCCTTGCCCTCAAGGAACATTCTAAATTAAGCAGGAAAAAAACAATACTACAGCATTTTAACTAAAATCAGCAAGTTAACTAACATCAGCTGAAATGGAAAACCCGTCATTGAGCAGCATATGAACCATATTCTATTCAGTTCAATAAAAAATGTTATGTACCACTATGCATAAGGCATTAGAGGTACAGAAGCAAAACAAACCAACAACAATAGATATTTTGCCTTGAGGACCTTACATTCATGTTACATGTAAATTTAAGTTTGACTACTTGATTTCTATTATGATAATTTACTGAAGATGGGAAAAATAAGAAAAATGTAGCAAGATAACCGTGTAGAATAGTTTCCAGTAAAGCCAGGCCCAATGTTGTAAGGCACATTGAGCCTTCCTTTCCAGCTGTTGTCTGGTGGTGCTGGTCCTCCCATATTTCTGTAATACACAAAAATTAGTATTAGTATTAAATTAGTATTAGATGAAGGACACATTTGATCAAAAAATAACAACCCATCAACAAACCTTTATTCATATCTACTATGTATCAGGTACTGTGCTAGATGTTAGGAATATAGAGACAAAAAAATATAGTCCCTGCCCTTAATCAATTAATAAACATTTATGAAGCACCTACTATATACCAGGCAGTGCAAAAATCAATACCTGACCTCAAGAAACTTACAATCTAATGGAGGACAAAGGACCTTCCAGTCTACTATAAATACAAAATAAACACAAAAACAATGGGGTTTGGGGGGGAAATTGAATTAACAATTTGGGGAATCAAAAGGCTTTCTTGAAGTATGTGGCCCTTGAGCTGAGCCTTGAAGGAAGCTAGGGATTCCAAGAGTCTGAGATGAGAATGGAGGGGATTCTGGACTTGGGAGATAGTCTATGCAAAAGCTTGGAGGCAAAGCATAGAATCTCTTATGTGGAGAAAAATAAGTAGGCCAGTTTGTCTGGAGTAGAGTGTGTGTGTGTGTGTGGGGGGTAATGATGTGCAATTCGTCTGGAAATATAGAATGCAGTCAGATTGTAAATGATTTTTAAATGCTAGATAGGGAGTTTATATTTTATCATAAAGTCAAGAGGACAATCCACTGAAGATTCTTAAGGAACAAAGTGCCATGGTTAGACCTAGGCTTTAGAAAATATCAATCTGGCAATAGTGATGAGGATGGACTGCCGAGGGGATGTGACTGAAAGTCAGGAGATCAATTAGGGGGCTGAGAAGTGATGAGGGTCTGAACTAGAATAGTTGTCATGTGAGTTGAGAAAGAGAAGGATTCAAGAGATGTGGAGGCTGAAGTGAAATGATTTGTCAAATTATTGGATATGGGGGCAAATGAGAGTATTGAACTTACTTCAAGGTTATAAACCTGGGCAACTAAAAGAATTATGATATTCTTAAAAGGGAATTTAGGACGACAAGTTTAGGGGAAAAGATAATGGTTTTGGACATGCTGAGTTAGATCAATGCAGTAACAATTATGACTTCAGAGGACTGATGCTTGAGGATACCTTTCTTCACCCACCAGAGTGGTAGGAGACTACTGGGTCAGAATTAGTCAGATACTGTCACGCAAGGCCAGTGTATTGATTTATTTTGCTTAATTGTATTTTTTCACTAAAAGGGAGAGTAAATGGGGACAATGTTATCATTGAGAAGTGATCAATATGTTAAAAATAGTAATAAGAAAAACCATTGACTATAGGGATAGGGTGAAAAGAGGCTGAGAAGGAAAACAGTGAGTAAAAATAACTGGGCATAGACAAATATCTTACACCATTTACCAAGATAAGGTCAAAAAGGATACATGACCTAACTATAAAGAGAGATTTTACAAGTAAATTAAGAAGAACACGAAACAAATTACTTATTAGACATGGATAGGTGAATAATTTATGAATAAACAAGAGAAAGAGCAAAGTTAGGTATAAAATGGATAATGTAGATTACAGGAAATTAAAGTCTTTTTTTTTTTTACTTTAAAAACAAATGTAGTCAGGACCAGAAGGAAAGCAGAAAATTGGGGGAAAAATTTTTATAGACAATTTACCAGATAAAGGTCTCATATCTAAAATATATAAAGAACTTTGTCAATCTATAAGCATATGAGTCATTCCCCAATTGATAAATGGTCAAAGGATATAAACAGGCAGTTTTCCAATGAAGAAATCAAAATCATTTCTAGTCATATGAAAAAACGCTCTAAATTATTATTGATTACAGAAATGCAAATTAAAAAAAGAAACTTGAGATACCATTTTACACCTACCAGATTTGCTAAAATAATAAAAGAGAAAAGTGACAAATGTTGGAGGGGGTGTGAAAAAACTGGGACATTAATTCACTGTAGGTGGAATTGGGAACTGATCCAACCATCCTGGAGAACAATATGCCCAAAGAGTTATTAAACTGCCTATGCCCTTTGACCCAGCAATACCACCACTTGGCCTATTTCCAAAGATAGTTAGGGAAAAAGGAAAATAACCCATATGTTCCAAAATGTTTATAGCAGCTCTCTTTGTGGTAGCAAAGAACTGGAAATTGCAGGGATGCCTATCAATTGGGGAATGGCTGAACAAGTTGTATATGACTGTGATGGAATACTACTATGCTACAAGAAATGATAAGCTCAGTGATTTTAGAAAAACATGGATAGAAAAACTTGCATGAAATAACAAAGAACAAAATGAGCAGAACTAAGAGAACATTGTATATAGTAACAGCAATACTGTTTTAAGAATGACTTTGAGTGGATAAGTTATTTTGTCTATTATAAATACCCAAATTAACTAAAAGGGACATATGAAGAAAGATGCTATCTGCTGTATCCAGAGAAAGAACTGATAAGTAGAAGCATGTATAGAATAATTTTACATATATACATACATACACACACATATATACATATACATATACATTATATATATTTATATATATAAATATACACACATATTTATTTGGGTCTAATGGTAGTCACCTTTAGAACAGGGTGAGGGGAAGAAAGAAAAAAAATTTACATGATAAATTTGTTGTATATTTGAAAGGAATAGCAAGTAGTGCAGAGTAGATTTGCAGTTTCATGTGCAACCATCTTTTTTATTGTACTATGTCATGGAAATGCTTGCTATATTTCACAAATTAAAAATACAATTAGAAAGCAAATTAAAAAAAACGACTATATATTCCAGCATGTAGATCTGAGGAATCTTGCCTACATGACTTACAGTACTTCTACTGTACTTACATCTAGTCTACTTCTTCAAAATAACTTCCTAAAGCCCAGCTCTGTTTTTATCACTTCTCAACTGAGGAAAAAAAAACCTTTAATAGTTCCACGTACTCTATAATATCTGTTCTCAGTCAGGGCCAACGAGTTATTAACAAAGAGTCTATACAAATTCATATTTACATCAAGCATTATTTTAACTCTAACAAAGTATATGGGAGGACTAAGCATAATAAATAATCAAACACATTTTCTGCAGACTGAATTAACACTTTCACATGTGCATATTAAACATATTTTTTCTCCTTTTGTTTAGCCAATGTTTATGCCTTCAATTTTTGTCTGTTTTGTTATTACTGTTAGCATTTGTATAACTATGTCAGATAACAATGGAGAAGGCATCCTACTTTATTCTTGTATTTATTAGGAGTAGTTCTGGCATTTCCCCACAAGAGTTAATGCTAACTTCTGGCATTAGATCTGTACTTTTTAATATTTTCAGCATATAACCCTTCTCTGTCAATGATGTGTAATTGTTTTTATTCCCCTGTATTTATTGTTAAAATATGTTGCAAGTGTTTTTTTGCTTTTAGTATGATTAGTTATGTTAATTATTATATAATCAATAATAATTACAACTAACAGTTAATAAATAATTATAATTATTTAGTATGATTAGTTATGCTAATTATATTTCTAATTGTGAACCATCCTTACATTCTGGACACAAATCCAATTGAGGTTTAGTAGATTTTATGCACATACATATACACATATATAGCTATAGACTTTCTGCTAGGGTGATTAAAAGTTTGTATCAATATTCATTAGTTTCTTTTAAAACAGTAACTTTTATTAATGTTTTTTGCTTATATATCAATGTCATTTTTGGATAATACCCTATTCAAAAGAATTAAACTCTTTCTTTATAACAAAAAAAATAGGTAAACAAAAATAACTTATACAATGAATGTATCTAGCAATGTATGCAACATTCTGTTCTTATTGTCTCTCATTCCTGTGCCAAAAAGGTGGTGGGGGGGGGGAGATATGCTTCATTATCTGTTCTCTGGGGCCATTTATCCATTTGTGTGTATGCTGTTGTCCCCCCCCCCAATTTAGAGTTCAGCTGCCTTTTAGGAATATTTTCATTTACTTTATTGAACTTATTGTGCATATTTTTATCCTTAGTGTTAAGAATCCCACATCTAAGAGCTCTAAGAATACCAGCACCCCTCAATTCACCATTCCTGCCTGTAGCCCAGTTTCTGCTGCCATTTTCAGAGAAGCAACCAACACGGGGAACTAATACTAATTACTAAAGTTTTTGGTGCTCCCAAATGGCTCAGTGTCAGAAATGGATACAGTTTTATAGGCTGAAATAACTCTAAAGGAGATGTGTTTATTTCCTCTACCTTCCAGATGAACTGTATATTTGTCATTCAGATCATTATCTATGTAGATGAGCCCTTTAATATCTGTTCTTTCCCTTTTGGAATATAAGCTCTCTGAAGACAGGGACTATAATGATTTTCTATTTGTATTCTCAGCGCTTAGCACTGGGCTTTGCATATTATGAATACATAATAAATGTTTTTCCATCCAACCATCCATCCATCTATCCATGTTCTGTTTATTTTATTCTGTATCAGTTCATAACAATCATTTTTTTGCTTCCTTTGAGATCTTCTTAAAAGTATGGATTATAATAGGAAGATTTATAAATGGATTATTATTATACTTTTAGTAGCTTTATAAAATCTTGATTTCTACGGTCCAACTTTTTGCCAGCTTTCATTATATGTAGAATATTTCACTATAGTTAGAAACTCTATACTGTAGGTTAAATAGGTATTTGTATTTTGCTGTTTTGAGATACAGGATTGTAGATTAAGAGCTGGATAAGACCTTAGAAATCATCTAATACAATGCTCTAATTTTACATATGAGGAAAATTGAGAACCAAGGAAGTTAAATAACTTCTCCCAAGGTAGTACTATAATTGAATTAAAATGTGAACCTAGATTTGCTGACTCCATGTTTATTCTACTGCACCATGCTGCCTTTTTCTTTTGTTAGTGCCAAGGTGTCCAATTAACCTTTGGCTTTTACATTTTATTTCTTTTCAAATGTACTTACTCTAGTAAGATCTGGGCATCATTGTATCCAATTGGATGAACAGGAATCTTTGGAAGACCAATAGCCTCAGTTATATCATATCTATAGGCATATTCTGGGGAAAAAAAGATAATTCACTTGTTATGATCAAGATAATCAAGCCTTTTCAAATGATTCTGTTTTATACAGCCATAACTTTGAATAAAAGAGAAATTGCTTGCTTTTTCTCTTTCAAAAGAGCTCAATACTCCAAGTAAGAAAACTTATTTAATGCAGAATCTTTTCTATGGTCAATTTTTTTTCTTGGAGAGATAATTTTGAGTTGATTTTAGAAAGAATCAAAATCAGTATATTTAAAACACAAAAAAAAGCATATAACCATGGGAAGTTAAACGTATGTATTTAAAAGATGGTTTGTCTATAGTTGGTTCATTCTTTGGCCAAAAAACTAGAAAAATTCTGGCAGATGATTGCTCCCAGGCTATCTAGTGCTTGTGGAAGAAAAAAAATCTCAGGAAAGGGAAAATACTGTAACAAGAAAATAAGAATTTGTAGTGAGAACAGTACCTGGTCCTGGACAAAATGAAGCACATAGTCAGCAATGCAGAAAATGATAGTATTTGCTTTTCTCTGCTTCTGAGGTATCACAGAATCTGAGAGTTGGAAAGGACCTTTGCAGTCATTTACTTCACCCTATACTTGTGAAGTAATCACTCTACTGTACACCTGACATGTAATCATTCAGTCTTTTTTTTGACGATCTAAAAGGAGGGGAAATTCAATATCTACTGAGAGAGTCCATTCCACTTTGGGATTGCTCTAATGATCAGGAAGATTTTCTTTACATCAAACTTAACTTGCATTTTTGCAATTTCCACCCATTGTTCTTAGTTCTGTCCTCTGTGGCCAACCAGAATAAGCCTAATCTCTTGCCCACAAAAAAGATGAATGTCATGTCCCCTGGATGTCTTTTCTACAAGGTAAATGCCCTCAGTTCCTTTAATGGATCCTCAATTCCCTTCAGAATTCTGGTTACCCTCAACAATAGATGAGCATTTATCAGGTGCCTACTAAGTGCTGGGCACTGGAAATAAAAATACAAAAGTGAGACAGGCAGTCAATGAACATTTATTAAGAACCTATTCTGTGTCACTGTGCTGGGTGCTGGGGCCTAGCATTGACACAACATCCCCCCCCACTTAATAGTATTTTATTTTTTCTAATTACATGTAAAAGATAGTTTTCAACATTTCTTTTTATAAGATTTTGAGTTCCGAATGTTTTTCCCTCCCTCCACACCCCCCTCCCTAAAATAGCAAGCAATCTGATGTAGGTTATACATATATAATCATGTTAACCATATTTCCACATTAGTCATGCTGTGAAAGAAGAATTAGAACAAAAGGGGAAAACCACAAGGGGAAAAAAAGGTGAAAATAGTATGCTTTAATTTGCGTTCTGACTCCTTAGTTCTTTCTCTGAATGTGGATAGTATTGTATTGCTGAAAAGAGCTAAGCCTATTATAGTGACACAACATTTTTAAAAACTGAATTTATACCATATCTCTGATCTGAACTATACTATTAAAAATTTTATCATTCTGACAATAGGGAGTAAAAATTCTCTCTCTCTCTCTTCTTCTTCTTCTTCTTCCTCTCCCTCTCTCCCTCTATGTGGGGTGAGGACTGTTTTTACTTCTTTTGCTTTGTGTCTCTTTCCTTGAGCATAGATGAGTGATCATGAGCTGAATAATCCTAGCCTTGGTAGCTGCCTTGGGAGTTCAAGATGTGAAGAGAGCCGAGGTCTCTCAGGACTATGGATAAAACAAAAACTTCTTGGCCTGGCATTTAAAGCACTCCACAACTGGCACCAATCTACTTTCATATCCATATATGGACTCTATGTTCCAACCAATTGGTCTATAAGCTTTTTCTGAACTTGACAGACTAGTTCCCACCTCTTTATAGACACACAGGCCTAGAATATACTTCCTTCTTTACACTTTCCAAATCCTTGATTCATACAATCCAAAATGTCACTCTTTATTCCTCACACAGGACAATCCATCTACCATTTCCTCTTCCAAATTTTGTACTAGCTGACCCTCATATGAAGAATTCACTCCTTCTTTACTCACAAATTCCCTCTCTTCCTTTAGGTTGCTCAGATGTCATCTTCTGCATGAAGCCTTGCCTGATTTCCTCAACTACTAGAGTCCTCCCTCCCAAGCTACACTGTATTTAACTACTTTGAATATATTTGTATTTGTTCAAATTTTTATATATACTTGTCTCCTCCTCCAGAACATAAGCTTGATGTAAGTATATGTATCCCAGTACCTGGCTTAGTGCCTGGCACAGAGTAGGAACTTAATAAATACTTATTAATTGAGGCTTATCTTAGGTGCCAACTGCTGTTTGCTCTCCTTCCTCCACCTCAACTAAAAGGTTTCTCTCCCTTCTCAAAAATAACTAGGACTCTTTGTCTGATCTCTCCTTTGTATCCCCATTCACTCTCTATGTGGTATTATACTTATCTCTGTACTTCATACATCTCTTCCTCCTGTTCAGTTGAAGTGTAGTGCCCTAATCTTGAAATTATATACAAGATACACTGAAGATAATAAATAGAGGGAAGGCACCAGATTTAAGGGAAATCGTATGTTATTTAGTGATAGAGAGACACCTGGGGCACCGAGAATTTAATGGCCATAAAGTGAGCATATATCAGGGGCAAGAGCTATGCTCTTATTTCCTGATTCCCAGGCTGGCCTTTTATTCACCATACCACAGTGGACATTAAAGGAACCTTGTAAATATTTGCTGAATTTATTTTAAAAAACTCTACTACCATTTTGGCTCTTCACAGAATCACAGAATTTGAGAGCTGGAGAGTACCTCAACAGGCATCTAGTCCAATTCAACTAAATAGCATTCTCTTAGTTCACAGATGTTTTAAAAAGGCATTATAAGCAAATTATGTGATACCATTAGCAAAAGATACCTGTCTACAAGTATTTCTTGTTTTAAGAATGGCCTTGTCATAAGGAACAGAGTTTAGGATCAGTTTTTCTAAATCAGTATTAATTTATGTCCAGTGAGCATTCTCTGAATTCTTGAGATTAAATCTGGCATCATAGGACTTAAAATAGTAAAGAAGTTGATTATAAACTGATCTCATACTTCAGCATTCTGAGGTCTCTGTTCCACTTTTCAGGAAAAGAAAAACCATACTGCAGATGAGTGTACATTACAGTTCCCTGTGCTTGCCTGCCCAAAGACATCCATAATCTATTCCTTTACTTGGCAAAGCACTTGTTTTTGTTATTTCCCTTCTGTCTCCAGTGTTGACTGAAGACTCATGACTCACCATTGGCTGGATAACCTGGAGTGAGAGGGTCACCTGCACCATTGAGGTTTAGCACATTTCCACGCTGGGCACCACCTCCTGGAAGGTTCCAACCTTTTGGATAAGGTTCTACCCCAGGGGATGAATAATCAGCAGGATCAGAATACAGAATAATTCCTTTGACTCCTGCCTGTTGAGCATTTTTAACCTGTAAAATGAGTTAACCTTTAAAAAAAAAAAATATATATATATATACACACATATACATATGCCAATTTACTTGTACAGATTCCAGAGCTATGACTAATCAGTATTTTACATGGAACGCTAGCCAATATCATAATCAAATTTATTTTGGCCCTTACTCCAATGAGAATATAGTGATCTATCACTATAATGGAATACTATTGTGCTATAACAAAAGATGAACAGGCAGACTTCAGAAAAACCTGGAAAGACTTGTATGGTCAGATGATGAGTGAAGTGAGCAGAACCAGGAGAACATTGTACACAGTAACAGCCACGTTGCATGGTAACTAATATTGATAGACTCAACCCTTCTCAGCAATACAAGCATCTAAGACATCCTCAAAGGCTTCATGATGGAAAATGCTATCCATGTCCAAAGAAAGAACTAAGGAATTTGAAAGAAAATAGTATGCTTTGATTTGCAATCTTTTTTTCTCTTCTGTTGAGTTTTGTTTCCTCTTTTTGGTGGTTCCTCCTATTAGTTCTAATTCTTACTTACAACATCACTAATATGAAGATATGTTTAACAGGAATGTATATGTAGAGCCTATATCAGATTGCGAGCCATCTTGGGGAGGGAGGTGGGGAAGGAGGGGGAAAAATTTAAAACTCAAAAGCTTATGGAAGTGATGGTTGATAAATCAAAATAAATTAATTAAAAAAAAGAATATATTGATCTATCTACTCTGTCTACCAAAAAAGTACATTTTAAAAGAGGCATCAAGAGTTGAATCGTGCTCAAATACACACATACACACGTGAGGTCAGGCAAATTCTCATTGTGTTAGGTCCCCAGATAGTAACACTCCACGTCTACTACCATAAAAGACCCTAAGATCTAGTTACCCCACATTCTAACTTCCCAACTTTTCCCTGGGGTTTTCTAATTGTGGTAGGTGAGCAACTTTGAAATCTGATTCCTCTAAAAATCCATGAGTAAATCAAAGTAAGGTGACAGAACAGGACTCAAAAGGCTGCTAAACATCCATCAGTTTTGCCCATATCCTCTTTTATTTACAAAATGTTACTGAATTTTAAATTATATCTTATAATAACAATGTAGCAATATACTAGTATTTTACATTTGAGTAGTACTTTATACTTTACAAAGCATTTTCATATATATACATTATTTCATTTCATCCTTATAATGCCCCTGTGATGAAGACAGGGTAGGTAACATTTTCTTCATTTTGCAGATATGGAAACTGAAGCTCAGGGATTAAGTGATTTGTTCAAGGTCATATAGCCAATAAGTATCAGAGCCACGACCACACCTGTCTTCAGATTCCTAGTTCAGTGGTTTTATCACCCCCCCCCAACTATATCATGCTGCCTCTCTAACATTAAATATCAATTCAGTTTATATGTTTCAGAATAATAAAATGTTTACAAGAAGACAATAAATGAAGACCCTTGATGCAAACTAGCAATGCACACTCTTGAAATTACAGAAATATTTGTGGAATGTGGCATATGTCACATCCATCTTCATTTTCTACAACAGCCTAGTTCCAAATACTCTATCATTCTTAGATAATAATCTAGAAGCTCCGTCTTTGACCCTGGGAGAGACTTGCTACAGGACAATAATGCAAAATGGTGCCAGAAATAAGGAGGTACCATAATTTCAATAAAATGAATGGAGCGCAGAAAAGTGGGAGGAGGGTTGGGAGGGCGAAAGGAAGGTGAACTTACCTTATTTCCTCTGAAAATTTTCCCATATCTAGCAATGGCAATTTTTCCAGAACAATTGATTCCTAAATCCCGCTCCAATTTAAAGAAGTCTTGGGTTCTTGCATAATTCACATACACTAGTTCACCCTGTTGGGAAAAAAGGTGATTTAAAACTAGAATGTACTTTCTGAAGCTCCTCCAGAGAAATTACATATAAGGCTTTCCCACTTTAAAGCAGGCCTTTTCAAAGGTCTTTTATATTCATTGTCTTATTTCATTCTTACTACTAACAGAAGAGGTAGACAAGGAAGAAACTGTCAACCCACTTGACTAATTAGATAACTGAAGTTTAGAAAAGTTAAGGAACCTGACCAAGGTCACATACATTAGGAGTTAACTATGAAGTCAGGGTTAGAATTCCTATCTCCTGACAATTTGGTGATGTTGCCTTTTGTAGAAGGCGAGTGTTGATCAGCTCAGCTTGGTAGCTCAAGTTCAAAATTAGAACAAAATGAGACACAATTAGTCCATCTAACATGTAACAAAAAGGTTTCATAGCTATACTGGGGGAAGGATATCCACATGAAGGAAATGATATTTATAGAAAACAAAACATTCACCAGTTGATCAGTTTCCTTGTGTTGGTCATGTTGCTGGCTTATCAGCCTCAAACCTCACTCACCAAAACTGGACCCTAACCTTTGCTCTTTTATGTTGAGGTTAAGCTTTTCTCTCCTTTACTAGAGCCTTGCCCTCGAAATGGTCCTGATGATCCCCTGCTACCCTTTCTCTCATGCTAGGGCCTGAGTTTTGTATTAGCTACTATACATCACATAGTAATACCTATCAGCCTTCACATAGCAGAAACCAGGTAGGTACTGAGATGCAATGGCCCAGTCCCTTTAATTGATATGGACCTATCCAAATTGTCTTTATTTCGTTACAAAAGTTATCAATAAAAGCTGGCTCCACCTTGAAACCCTTGGTTATCTCCAGTGATCAGCCCACCAATGAACTGCTTGACATATTTTTAATAAACTCTTTTAATTCCCTTTTTCCTGAGCTTTGCCTCATTAATTAGGTTGAAAGCCTGAACAAAGAATTTTCCTTTTATCACCTTAAAATACGATACGTTAGCTATTATTTATGAACAAATTAATTAAAAAAACATGTATTATGTACTTCAATATATAAAGCACTGTGTTAAGCATTGAGCACACAAACAAAAACAAGACAGACTCTACTCTCAAGAAACTCACACGTGAATGTAGGGAGGTAGTACATGTAAGAGGTTTCATCTGGAAGGAGCCAGTAATGCTGAGAGTGCAGAGGCAAAGTAGATAGTAATGTATCTTCTTTAGGGTAAGTTTCATTGAAAAGACTACATCCTTTGAAACATTTAATGGCACCAAGGACTTTGGTAGCAAGAACTTTGTTATCTTGTTCTTAAGTAGCTATAGAATAGAGACTATTGCCAGTTTGCATCTCCTCAAGGATTGGCCCCATGGATAAAAACTGTAGGGAATAGGCTAGAGCCAGTGTCTATGTTCTAGGGGATATTTCTATGATCTAGATTTTTGGCTGCCCATAGGTGTTAAATGGTCAACAGTTAGTGTTTGGGATAGCTGAGATGACAGGCCTCTTCTCCACAGGCACTGTTCCCCTACATCTGAAGTGTTAAACTTGCTACCCTCAAAACTCCCCAAACCAAGACAGATTGAAACAGTTAGAGTTAATTTTTAGAAAGGTGTAGGGAAAACAAAAGCCTTACTTATTTGTTGTCTTTTGAAAAAGAATTTCATTTGGTATAACAAAATTCTGCTTGAAAGGCTCTCCTTCAATGTGATGTACCTCATATATGCCTAATCCTCCTTATAGATCTACCTTCTCAACTTTCATTTGCATTAGAAGACAGAGTTACCAAAGGACCAATACTAATTATTTCCTTCATGATTCTTAGGGTAAGCCTGAGGGGGTAGATTTGCATAGTACTATCTATGTTCCCCATTGATTATTAGCCCAACATAACTACTTATTAAAAATTATATTTAATAAGTATCTATAGCAAGGGTATTTATGATAGAAACACCTTCTCAAAAAAGGGTATAATCATCCCTCATCCCCACAAGATCTTTGGGAAGAATGGGTTCAAGTTTGGGGAGCAAATGTGGTGAAAGCATAAATTTATGGTGCTTGGTTACTAGAAATCATTTTTTCCCCCTTTTCACAGAGGATATATGAAAGTCTGCTTAGTTTCTCTGTTAAGAATCAAACGTGGTGCCCTTGTAGAGTCCTGAAGCTATTTTATCCTCAGCCCATCTAGTTTACCCTTGATAAGTCTCCCAACTACTGATGAAGACACTGCTGTTGGTCACTGATGCTTTGGCAGACACTGCTACCAATTAGGAACTCCAGATCTTCTGACCTTCTGAAGTTCACATAGCTATCACTTAGTTAATGGTGGGGTGTATGTAAAGATAAACTTAGTCCTCCTATCATCTCTAAGGGCAGTTCCCTCTCAGAAGTTCCACACCATTGGATTTGACCATCACTTGAATGGCCTGCTACTGCAAGGCAGGATTACCAGCTGGCTGGCTGTTTTATCCATTACCCCAAGGTTCAGGGTCGATTCTCTTCAAATAATCATTAGATATTTACTACATGGCATCATCTGCTTTAATCCAATGACTTAAATCCAGGATGATCCTTTTAAACTGATTGGCCAAATTTAGAAGCCTTGGTCTTCTGTGACTTAATTGAAGTACAGGTGGAAATCCTCATGCTTAACCATACATTAAGGTCATAAAAGATTCTTTGATGACCCAACAACAGATGTAACTTTCACAATCCTCTGATTATTGACATCAAGCAAGGTATGACACAAGGAGACCAATATGCATGCCAAAAGGTGTTTTGCACTACTGCAGAGTTCAAACTTGAGTAATCCCATGTAAATGGTAAGGTCTATCAGCTGCTCTTCTTCATACTTAGCTATTTACTTCATCATCTGGAAGAAATGCAAAACCCTCTAAATGAGCTCCCCAACTACTCAGTTTAGCCTAACTATACACATAAGCATAAACAAGTTGTTGAAGAATATCTTCTGTTTAGACTATGATATAGATGGACAGTTAGAGCAACAGTTCAATCAGTTGGCTCATCAGTACATGTAACCTTGAAAAGACACTGTACATGGACAATATACTAAGCCCAGAACCGAATAGGAAGATGACAGCAGGATCCATTCTATTTGGAAAACCATGCAGCATTTTCACTGAACCTAAGGTTCTTTCTAGGGAAAAACAAACAAACAAACAAACAACCCCCCTATTTTTTAACTTCATTGTTTCTTTTCAAGTCATATGCCTAGAAATTATGGAATATCATAATCATGTCCTATTTTATTTCTGACTAGGTTGTTTCAGATCTTTAACTTCCTTACCTTATTTTTTTCTCACTTTACATCACCTTTTGGCTGCACCAATTCTTTAATATATTAAATGTATTTTAAATTCCATTCCCTTCTTCTGAGATGTTAACAACTTTGCTCGATTCAATGGCAGAGTGGGGCTATGAAAAAGAATTAGCTGAAACAAACTAAAGATGAAAAACTATAATGGGCATCCTTTCACAGTACTTTAGTTCTATGACTACATACAATGACCCTTTTGTGTGATTTACAGTGAACTATTGTTCTCCTAGGAATAAACACACTCTTGCATTGTGGTTTATAGGAGAGTTTGTTCTTTTTCCTGTCAACCTTCTATTGTCCTGTGCTCCCATCTTTTTTTTTCCACTATAAAGAATTTAATGACTGGATATTAGTATAGATGGGAAAAGTCATTAGATAAAAACTAAGTTAAATTAAGAGTATCTTTCCTACTTCCTAATCTGGAATCCAATCATTTTGACACTGCCCTTCTAAGGAGTGGTCTCAAAGAAACACTATAATGGATAACTCTCACATCCCACAGGATTACAGAGAAGAATCAAACAACCATTTAAAAAAGAGAGAACAAGACCAGAAACTCCTCTATCTACAAAGTTTTACTTCTGTCAAGAAACAACCTTTAGCACAGTGCCTGGTACATAGTAAGTTCTTAATAAATGCTTGTTGGTTGACCTTAATTACCTTCATCAACTTTTTCCCTCCATCAGTATGATATTCTCTAAAAGGGACTTCTTTTTTTAAAAACAAGTATGCAAGTATTACATATAGTAATTTTAGGATTGTATAGGCAAATTCAGCAGTCTTTGTGATATAAGCTAAGAACCATATATTTTTATATTTTTCACTACTGATTTTCCTGATTATTTACTGAACCTAATGTTAATTTTGTGGTCAAGGGATTTGAATTATTTCAAAAGCAGTGCAAAAAAATCAATGATTATAGAAAAATTAACCACAAGTCACTAATAACAAGAAAATGCAAAATAAAAGTTAAAAATTTACCTCACTCCCTGGAAATTTTCACAAGTAACAAAAAATATAAATAACTGACATTAGAGAAGTTGTTGGTATAATCATTCCAGAAACAACTAAAGTATTTGCAAAAGAGACCAAACTGTTAATATCCTTTGACCCAGTGATTCCACCATTGTGCAAACAACCCAAAAAGATCAAAACATAAAGGTCCCATATATACCACACATGATGTACTTCATAAACACTTTTTAATCAATAACACTTCTTGTAGTAGCAAAGAAATAGAAATAAAGTGGCTATCTACTACCTAGGGAATGTCTTCAATTGTGGTCTGTGAATACAGTGGAATATTATTGTACAAAAAGAAATAACACATATGAGAAATTCAAAGAAATGTGAGAATATTAATACAAACTGATAAGGAGAAAAAATGAAGAAATTGAAATCCAGAGAAATTAATTTACTTGTCCAATGTCACATGACTACTTTGTGACAAAATTAAGATTAGAATTCTGTTCTTTCAACTTCAAGTACGATGCTCTTTCTACCATAATACATAGGCTCTCAGATATACACTACTCCATTTTTTAAAAATTTCTACCATTCTTTCCCATTTCTATATTTATAATAGAAGTTAAATTACTTCACTGAGGTATTCTGTGGGTATTATTCAAATGACCACACTCAGATCTATCAAATTCTACTAGATGAAATGTGACTTTAACCTTATTGTCTCTTCAATGACATGAGAAATGCTGTAGGACACAACTTTAGGCTCCTTAGCAACATTACCAAGTGACTACAAAGATGATATCATCTCTCCAGCATCCTTTGGCACTGTCATTATAATCCAACACTTTCCTAAATAACATTCTTAGAAATTCACCAACCTGTCCTTTTTTTTTTCTGTTAGGTTTCAACATTTCATCTATGTGACATATAGTTTAAGGAGATACAACAACAAAAATTTGGGAAAACTATGTTGCCCAAGGTAGTTATCAAACTTTGGTATTTCTCTTTATATTTTATTCTTTTAAGAAACGGTCAACAGTTGTATTTCTGTGGATTGTTTTGGAAGACAAAGCAGATGAATGTTCAAGGCTCCATAAATCTATGAGAGAGACCCTCTATTATTTAATATTTCTTGTATTCTTTACCTCTGGCATCCCCTGTGGTGAAAAAGCACTAAAAGGTGGAACCACATCTGGAACATGTTCATATCCTGGAGGAGGGGGTTCAAATAATGATGTGTTGAAAATCTAAGAAGAAATCAAAGTTATTAAAACCCACAGTCAAAATCCGATCCCCCCCCCATTTTGATAGCAGTCTTATTTTGGTTCAATCTAATGGCCTTCCCATTAAAACTGGAACACAAGCTCTTGGTGGTGCTTCCATAGGCGTGGGAGGAGTCAAGAATCAAAATATGTAGTAAGCTTCTACTGACCTATTTACTATGTGTCCAGCACTGTGCTATATACTGTGGGAGAATACAAAAATAGTATAAGGCATCATCTTTACCCTCTAGGAGCTTTCAGATATAGTTAAGCAGACACATAATAGCAACTAGAAAAAAATATGTTTCATCAAAATTCAGAGAAGGTTAAGAAAAACAGAAGAGATAATAACTATAGATTTTTTGCTAAACATATTTGAGTCAATATTCCAGCGAAAAGACTGAAATAAAAGTGTTTTTTTTTTTAATATTGACAGGAAGTTTTGAAAATTTTGAAATAATGTGTCTTAAATTACCTTAGGAGTTTAGGAAGAGGAATAATGTATTATTTCACAGCTCACAATGGCTCAATGTATAACACTAGGTAAAATGCAAAACTGAACCAAAGTTGAACTGTACTAGAATGTACCGTCACATCACTCAATTTGAACTTAGTACTGATTTTCTCTTACTGCCAAAGTTATTAATATGGGGGGAGGTATTTTGTAACAATGTCAGGGGAAGGAGAATTTCTGTCACCACTTTTTGAGACACACGTTCCCTTTACCTCACCCCCAGTTTTAGAATCCTTGATTGAAACATATAGTGTTATCAAGAGAAACAATGAAAACAAGTAGGAATGGAGAATAACATTTCAAATTCAAAATGTATCATAAAGCAGTAATGATCATGCCAACTTGGTACTCTTTTAAAAAGAGGAAAATAGGGGCAGTTTGGTGGACAATGGATAGAGCATCGGCCCTGGAGTCAGGAAGACCTGAGTTCAAATCTGGCCTCAAACACTTGACACTTACTAGCTGTGTGACCCTGGGCAAGTCACTTAACCCCACTGCCTAGCCCCTCCCCCCCAAAAAAGAAAGAAAAATAGATCAATAGAATGTACTAGACAAGAGATAATAACAACAATAATTAATAATAATAGCTGGCATCTATATTGTATTTTAAGCTTTGCAAAACATTTTAAATATATAATCTCATTTGATCCTCACAACAACCCTATGAGGCAGATGCTATTATTATCTCCATTTTACAGAGAAAACTAAGGCTCAGAAGGTTGTGACAATCACGGTAGTAAGAATGTGAGGCAAGATGGATCAAAACTCAACTTTTCCTGATTATTGCACTCTATATTGATACTACTGGAGTACTCAACTTCTTAAGTACCAAAATAAGCACTATTCACAATAGGAATGACAATTTATTTTTCTCACTATCTCTGTAGTCCAAGTCACAGAAATCTTTATGAGGAGAGTGGCTCTGGTTGAGCCCTAAATGGCCATAATGTCTTACATTTACAAGTGCTTCCTATTTTCAAAGAATTTTTCATTATCTCATTATTAAGAACACTGCAAAATAGACAGGGAAGGTATTATTATCCCTAAACTGGGACTTAAAAGAGTCCTTGAGCCCAAGTTCAGCCAATTAGTAAGTGGCAGAATACGCCAGGAAACTAGGTGTCCTGATTCCTAAGCCATGGCTCTTTTCAATCCACTAAGCTGGCTGCGGGAAGAGGAGGAGAGGGATGAGCAGAAGGGGAGGAGGAGAGAAGTCACTCTCAGATGAAGAACAGGACTGAGGCAGAAATTCACCTTCACTGTACAGGGCAAAGTGCAAAAAATATTTTTTAATTCCTTTCAGCTTCTTAGTTTATAGTCAAGTCAAAACTACACACAATTTTGTACTTATTTAGAATAGCTTAATTTTTCATCAACATTTATAATTGCCAGCATAATGGAAATCTTTCTTAAATGTACAGTATTCCAGTTATTGTGATCTATATCTTGCCACTGGACCCAGATGGCTCCAGAGGAGAAAATGAGGCTGGTGACTTTGCACAGCCCTCCCTCACTTAAATCCAATTCACTTGCAAGTCTTGGCATCACCTTCCTGATGTCGGTCCTTTTTGAGAATGAAGGACAAATAACACTTCCCGTTTTCTCTAACAGTAGGTGGCACAGTTGGGCAGCTAGGTGGCTCAATGGATACAGTGCTGGGCCTGGAGTCAGGAATATTCATCAAGTTCAAATCTGGCCTCAGACACTTACTAGCTGTGTGAACCTGGAAAAGTCACTTAACCCCTGTCTGCCTCAGTTCATCATTTGTAAAATGGGGATAAACTGAAGAAGGAAATAGCAAACTACTCCAGTATCTTTGCCAAGAAAATCCCATGGATGTAAAGTTGGACATGACTGAACAACAACAACAAACAATATTTTGTTGAGCTCCAATATAATAACAAAATTCAGAGGATGAAAAACTTCTAGAATCTGAAGGGAAATAATAGAAAAAAGAATGAAGGAGGAATAGAATTTTCAGAAAACAAATTACATTATAAAACTGTAATCCTCAGTTAAAAAAACAGAAAAGCGGACTAGTGAAACATAATTAGAAAAAGCATAACCAACTGAAATCAATAACCCAACATTCCATAAACCCATAATAAAAGCTACTGGAAGATATCCCTATTTGTCAAGAACATCTGGGAAACTTGGAAAGCAGTTTGGAAGAAATTAGATTCAGATAGGGAGGCAGTTTGGTATAGTGGATAGAGCTCTGGGACAAGAATACAGGAGACCTGAATTCTCACCTCAGCTACTATGTTAAGCATTGAACTTGCTTTCTCAGTGTGAGGTACCTAAGCGGTACAAAAGATAGTGTTGAGGCTGGAGTTAGGAAGACCTGAGTTCAAATTTCACTTTGGACATTTATGAGCTGTGTGATCCTGGGCAAGTTAGCTTAACTATGTTTGTCTAAATTTCCTCAAATATAAAATGAGGATAATAATAACTCCTACCCCACAGGGTTTTGTGAGGATCCAAATGAGTTAATATTTATATAAAACAGCACAATCCCTGGCACGTAGTAAGTATTACATAAATGCTTATTCCCTTTTCTTCCTTTCCCTCCCCCATTGTAAGAGAGGGATAATTACAGCATCTCTATTGTAGGGTTGTTGCAAGATGCAAATGAGATATAACCCCCAAATACTATAGAAATGTTAGCTACTATTAGCTTCATGATTTAACAATGAAATGACATTCAAATTAATGAATTTTATAACTATTTGGTCTTCATTCTGAATGCTGAATTTCATTTGCAGATTATTCATAAATACCAAAAAAAAACAAAAAACAAAAAACAAAAACAAAACACCTAAATAATTTTACTATGTTACCTTCACACCATTATAAATTTCAAATGGAAAAATGATCCAATTATAAAAATGTTATAGTATGACACACTTAGAGAAGAATGGGAAATTATAGCTTTTGAAGCTGTTAAGAGAGGAAAAATATATAACTTAGAAAATACAGATTATAAAAGTCAAAAGACAATCTCATTTACATACAATTTAAAACTTTTACATAATTAAAATCAAAGAAGTTAGAATGAGAATAGATATATATTAAAATAAATGTTATATTTTATATGTTAAAAGTCTGACATCCAAAATCCATAGGAAATTGACACAAGATGAGTAATACCCCAAGAAAAAAGTAATCAAAAGGATATGTACAAAGTTTTCAATAAAAGAAATGCAAACTGTACATACCCATGTGAAAATTATTCAAAGTTACTATTAAGCAGAGAAAGGCAAATTAAAACAACTTTCACCTATTACCTTATAATCTTCAAATTAGCAGAGATAGTAGAGGATAGGAAATTTAAATGGATGGGGCCAAATAACAGACAGTAGATTTGGGGATTGGTCAAATCATTCTAGAAAACAATTTGGAATTATGCAAGAGAAGTTATGAAATTGGTCATACTTCAATCCAGAGATCTCACTACAGGGATTATATCCTTGAGAAGTTAATAACAGGAAAGAATCATATATTCATAGTATCATTACCATTGTGCGCAATGATTGGAGGAAATGACTGAACACTCTTGTATATAAATGGAATGGGATATTATTTTACCATAAAGAATAATCCAGATACTAGTAGCTATTATCTACCAACCCTTAAGACATTCTTCTTCTTTCCTCAATGAGTTCAGTGCCTGGCTCAGTTTTTTCTCTTCCCCTCATGTTAATGGACTTCAAAATACATATTGATGTTCCCTTCAGTGCCTTAATATGCCAATTGCTTGATGACCTATTCTATGACCCATTCTTCTACCCATGTATGCTACACACATATATGGTCATATCCCTGATTTTGCTATCACCGATAAGTATTCTACTTTCACAAGTTATGAACTCTGAACTTCCTTCATCCGATTATAATCCTTTATCATTTCATACTTCCCTATGCCTTACAAAGTCTAACCCTGATTTTCATCCTTAACCATAACCACTATTTCCATCATCCTTCTGTCTTTTGTGGGCCCGCACAAATAGTCCAATGGCCAACACCCTTCCTTGTATTAGCTACAGTCTCCTCCCTTTCTTATCTTAACCCTCTGGTGAACCCATTCTACAGTACCTTATATTCTCTAATCCCTTTGACTCCTTGTCCTATAGTTGTGGTTCAGTCCTTGACAACCCCAACCCTGGATTATTCCCAACATCCATTTTTTCCCCCTCATATTTATATAATATTAAACAGATATGAAGAAAATCATGAACTAAGTTGAATGGGTCCATTACCAATATATTTTATCTAATCTTAACTGAGCCCTCACTGCAGCAAGGCAAACGCTCTGTTTGCCTTCTAATTGATTAGCTATCCCACACTTTATGGCAGCTATTCCAGACTTTCTTATTTCTCCTTAAATCTCCCAAGGCACCTTTCCCACAACATCTCTAAGACCCCATCATGTACTTAATGAAAAATTTGCTGAAAACTCCCTCTTCTCCCCTCCTCCTTACCTCACACCACTTAGACAACTGGCTTCCACTATCACTTTACCCCAGTGTCAGATGAAGAGGCGGCCCTTTTCCATGACAATCCAAATGTCAAAATGTGTAATCTTGATCCCATCCTTTCCCACCTTATCCATTTGATGAACTCCTCTTATCTCTATTCTCTCTCTCTCTCAATCTCTAATCTTCAATTTCTCCATATCTACTAGATGCTTCCCTGCTGCATACAAACACACTTATGTCTTTCTCATCTTTAAAAAAAGTCATCTTGATCTAGCTATTCCCACTGGCTATGATATGATCTCCCTCCTCTTCTTGGCCAAACAAAATAATCTATATTCAATATCTTCACTTGCTCTTCTCTCACTCACTTTTAAACACTGGAATCTAGCTTCCAATGACTTTATTCAAGTCACTACCCATTCTGGACCCCAGTTTCCTCACCTAGTACCACTCTCTTATTTAACCTTCTACTCCTAACCTCCTATGAGTCCATACAGAACATTTCTTAAGTGACTGTTATCTAATACTGGTGTGTGTGTGTGTGTGTGTGTGTGTGTGTGTGTGTCCATCCCTAGGGGATATGAGATCATAGCAGGGATGGAAAGATCAAGTGAAGGTTTTATGAGGATGGAAGAAAAATTGGCAGATTTATAGGTACTAAATAAGCATCCAGTAGGAAAAAAAACCCAAAAAATAAAAAAAGTAGACTCAGTGGTGGACCCCATCAGAACACTTGCATGAATTTTTCCACCTTCATTCAGCAGTATATGCGTAGGAACAAAGGTAGCAGAATTTATACGAGTGATCCATGGCTGAGGCTTGGCAAATGACTATCAAGGGGTCATGGACATAAGACAACAAGACAGTGTAGATTTAAACTAGCTCACCAAGAGGTCAAGATGAAGAAAAGAGGAGAAAGTAGCTAGTTGCAGGGGTGATGACCTGGGAAACAATGGTTTGGATGAAGAATAGGGTCTGATATGAGAAGCAGAGGTAGAGGCAAAAAGCCAACACACTGTGATCAGATAAAGGAATTTCAGAGTTCTTAAACATAGAAGTAGTACATTTCTTGGTGATGGCAAGATCAAGGTAAAGCTAAGGTTGATAGATAAGGTTGATAGCTTACTAAAGTTGTCATGTACAAGGGTCAATATGGATAGGCTTTGTCTATCTTTATGTAGGATTTCTTCTGTGGTACGCAAAAACAACCGATTTCCCTTACCTCATTTCCATCTTCATCAATGATAGAGATATAGTTGGGATTAGTCTCATTGGGGTAGGATAAGAGGACATCATAGTGAGTAAGTTCAACCGAATCTAGGCCAAATTCCTTCCACTGGGATTGGATTTGCTTTGCAAGGTCCAAGTTTTGTTCCGTGCCTGCCAGATGTGGGATCCGTGTAAAATTACTAGTTGAGAAAAATGGATAACGGTTAAAAACAATGTTTGATTTGAAATATTTATTTTTAATTCAGCAGAATACAAAGAAATGTAAAAGTACTGTACAATACGTAATTCTTTACATATGGGTGAGATACCATAATTGTCGTCAAATGCAATCGCCATGCAGAGATGTGAATTTTTCCCACCAAATTCCTCAATTTCTAGATATACTTCTCGATTTCTATAGCAACTTGGAAAAAAAGTGAGGAAGAGAGAGAATCTGGGAGAGGCAGAATCTAAATTGAAATAAGGAGTTAGGAGACTTAGGTTTCCTAGTTCTATTTTACTGTGTGAATCACATAAATTCTCTGGGAATCAGCTTCTTTATTTGTGAAATGGGGCTCATGGGCCCGGCCCTTGCAGAGTTGTTTTGTGGAAGTGATATATGTATGTATATACATACTTCTTGCCTTCATTATCTCCCTGTACCAATCCATCCTTTAAACTCATCCCAGATTAATCTTTTTTTTAAAAATTTATTTTATTTTTACTTTATGGAATAAAACAAGCATTTCTACAACATGGTATTAAAAAAAAAGATGATTACACATGAAACTGCAAATCTATTATGTACAACTTGCCATTCCTTTTAAATATATAATAAAGTTACCATGTAAATTTCTTTTTCCCCCTTCCCTCAGATTAATTTTCTTAATGTTCAAGGCTAATCATGTCCCTTTACTGTTCAAATAAACTTCCAATGACCCTTATTACCTACTCAATAAAATCCAAACCCATAGTCATTTACTAACTTATGCTTACTCATCTTCCTACCCATTCTCTCATATATCTCCTTTTCATAAACAAAAAATTCTATACTTTAAGCTCTAGCCAGATTGGCCTTTGTCTTGATTCACACTACTTTTACATGTTTAGAAAAACACCCCATCCTCCAAGGCCAAGAAAAAAAAAATAATCATGAAGTTTTCTTTGATTTTCCTCTGCCAGAAGTGATACCTCTCTCCTTTGGGGAATTTTCTACTGCTTAATATCTCTTATCCACCTATGATACTTTTTTTTGATACTTTAATTATAGTACCTCACGTATATGTAAAGACTATGAATTTTCTTTTTAATTTTCTCCATATGAGGAACAACATAAATGATGGTATCTGACTAGGGTAAGCCTCCTCCACAGAGAGGAGGAGAATTTGTAGGTAAAAACAGATTAAACAGACTAGTAAGTCTGTGAGTACAGCCCCCGATGCCAAAGGAATTCTCTCAACACTCATGTGCATCCTTGCCTATCTTACTCACTAGAGGTATATTCAGAAGGTGCCTGGTGGCTGCTAACCACAGAATGACAAATTTGAAGAAAAAAAAAACTCCAAATGCCTTTCCCTTTTTGAATATGATACAGTGCTGGCCTTAATTGCTCTGGCCACTCAGATCCCGCCTTCAGTTCTGGTCTGGTCTGGGTTCTAGGAACTACATTTGCTGGTTCATTTCTAATAGCTATTTAGACATCTGATAGTTTGGGTAGCCAATGCAGAAGACTTCTATAAGCAGCAATGTTATCTTTCTCATGTGTATGTAGTATTGGTAGTTTATAGACCATTAGTAAACCAAATATTAGTATGGAGTGGTGTTGCTGCTCCTTGGGATCCAAAATAAGGTAATATATTAAGCAAAAGCATAGAAGTGGAAAAGTACAAGATATACACGAGGGACAATAAAACAATCCAGTTTGTATGGAGCATAAAATAACTTGAGGGTAATAGCTTGAGATTAAATACTGCTGATGCTAATATGTGCTAATAATATGTACGCTATTGCTAATATAGAATGCTTTGAATGACAGACTAAAGAAGCTGCACTTTAATTGGTCTGCAATTGAGTTTCACAGAAGTGTTTTGATCAGAGAAGTGATTACTAGATCCATACATAAGAAAGAAAATGTGATGGTGCTATGAAAGATGGATTGGAGTGGGGAGAGAAAGTAGGTGGAAAGACCAGTCAGGAGGCTATTATAAATGGTAAATGGAAACAAGTGCATCTATTCAGATGGTGGTAGTAGAGTTAGAGAATAGTGAACAGACGCAAGAGATGCTGCAGAAGTAAAATCAGTAGGACTTAGTAGATATGACAGGGGAAGTAGAGGGAGGAAACAAATATTATTCCAAGTTTCTGAACCTAGAACACTGGGTGGTTGCTTGGTGGGATCAATGATACCATTAGAGCAGAAAAAGCATTTTGTTAATATATTTGGAAGAAGTCAGTAAGCTATAATCCAGTCCAGTAGATGATTTTTTTTGGGAGTGGGGAAGCAATTACAGTTAAGTGACTTGCCCAGAGTCACACAGCTAGTAATAGTCTGGAGCAATACAGGAAATTCAGCTGTCTTTCAATGAGTTTCAGCCTTTCTCCAGTCAATCAGCAAGGAGTTGACTGAAAAAATCAGCAACCCCAGTCCAGCAACTAAAGTCTTCTTGACAGCTGACCCTCTAACTACATTCTTTTTTTTTTTTTTTTTTGGCATTTGGGGTTAAGTGACTTGCCCAGGGTCACGCAGCTAGTAAGTGTCAAGTGTTTGGTCTGAGGCCAGATTTCAACTCAGGTCCTCCTGACTTCAGGGCTAGTGCTTTATCCACTGTGCCACCTAGCTGCCCCTACATTCTTTCTTTATATATGTGATGATATCACCTTGATTCTTTCCTCTGTCTCTCCTCCCCCCACTCCCTTTCTAAAGATCTATTCCTAAAAACAAAGAATTTTTTATAAAAAGAAGAGAAAAACATTCAGCAAAAACAATCAACACATCAACAAAGTCTGATGTTATATGCAATAGGTCACACCTTTTAATCCCAACCTCTGAAAGGAGGTGAAGGAAGGCTTCTTCTTGTATTTCTTCTTTTAGACCAAGCTTATTTTTCATTATTTTACAATTTTAATTGTTTTGTTGCTTTTTTCTTTCCATTTGCTTGGCTGTAGACCTGCATATTGTTCTCCTGGCTCTGTTTTACATAGTAAAGTGTTTTGTAAATCTCAAAACAGTACATAAATGCTAGCTATTGTTCTTATTCATTTAAAATGTATTACTTACCATATTTAATACTTTTTTTAATATTAAGATTCTTACTATTATAATTGAGAGTTATAAACTGATTACCTATATAGAGTCAAGAATCTTACAGATTAGATCGCTAGTCTGTAAGTGATTTTTAAGCATTTAGGTAACATACATACACACACACACACACACACACACACACACCCTCCTCATTTGCTAATCTATAAAAGGTAATGCTATTTATTTATAACAAGAATGTTATATCATTAATTTTTCAAAATACCAAAGACATCAGTGATTTTCAAGCAGAGGATGATTTAGAGGGTAACTAGTATGTTATAGAGAAGGAAGCTAAGGCCCAAAAAGGTTAAACAACTTGCCCAAAGTCAAATACATAGTAAATGAAAGAGTAGAGATTCACACTCAGGTCCTCCAATTCCAAATCTAGCATTCTTTGCACCTCATCACATTGAATTAGTCTCTATTTTTTTGTGATAAAGTATCTCTGTCTCCTACTCTTACTGCCACTTTGTTTCAGTCCATCATCAAACTTTGCTCCATTGAGTTCTCAAATAGAAGCACAGAAAGGTAAAAATCATGAAATACAGCTCATAGTATTTCTTAGACAGGCAAAATATGACACCATTACAAGATAATTCAACATGTATGCAAGCATTTAAATGCCAAGTTTCTTCTTAAATCAGTAATTCAAGATAGGGACATTTCTAGAAAGAACAACTATTCCAACCAATAACATACTGAATATTAATTTTTAAAAAATATGCTTACTATAAAAATGATTTGATGTTTTCAGCTTTCAGTTCATCCAGAAATACCTTCTTCATATTTCGGTGGGGAATTATGGTACTAACTTCACTGGTGGGTTTTGCAATCCATCCTGTAACACACACCCAAATTTCAGAATGAATTGTTGAGACATATGTAAATCCTTCTTTATGTTGTTAGTGCTTTAAAAGATATTAAATAATTTCATGAATTTTTTTAAAAGATTCATCATTGCCATGGTTTTGACATAATTTGGCTTTTGAAAGAAAAATCTTCATTATGTTACATTGTCCACATTTGCCAACATTGCTTAGCATCACCAAAAGATCATAAAATCTCTGAGACCTCAGTGCCAGCCTATACTGAAAAAAGACCCCTCCCTATACCATACCTGACAACTGTTTATTTAGTTTTTGCTCAAAGACCTCTGGTGAGATGGAACCCACTGTCTCCCAAGACAACTCATTACACTTCCATATAGCAATAAGTAAATAAGTATGAGTAAGCTTCTTGCTACATCAAGCTTGAACTGCTTTAATGCAAGGTACACGTACTCTCTTTCTTTCTCTCAGCTGCACCTGACATATCCTATTTCTAAAAACATTATTCCATAGCATGATCTTCAGGTTTTTCTCCATTCTGCTTGCTTTTCTCTAGCTGTTCTCTAGCTGACCAGGATTTTTCCACTCAAGAATTTCTAGGCCTATCACTATGTCTCGCAATACAGTCTAAGGTCCCATTATGCTTGTTTGCTATGATATATCAAAACTGATTTCTATTAAGGTCAAGCTACCAAAACTCCAAGGAATATACTGTATACTAAAGCTCACCTAACTTGTATTTATGAATTGATTTTCTGAACCCAAATGGAAAATACCATTTTAGTTCATTCTTTTTATTAGGTCCTGTCCAATATGAGAACCGGGTGAGATATTTTTAAACTTTAACTATCACCCAACATATTAGATATTTCTACTATGTTACCTGCAAATTCTATAAGCATGTTATTTATGCCTATATCCAAGTCACTGATAAAATTCTAAAGCAAAGATCCTTAGGGCCCAGAAACAAGGTAGAAACCTCCTTCCAAGTTAACATCCTTGATGATCATTGAGTCATTAATAAATACTTTTTTGGGTCTTGCAGAAAAAGGTCTGAATCTACATTATTTGAATTTCCAAATAATTCTATCAAGAGAGCCCTTCTGTAGTGGAGTTTCTCTTTTCAAATATCTTTTTTCTTTTTAAAAACAGATTTCAAACCTTTATAATTTGCAGATTTTAAAATGTGCATTCCAATAATTAAAATTATTTGAACAAGAAAAGGTACTGTGATTAATTGCATTTTACAGCTTTCCAGGACCTTGGTACAGTTCTGCATTTTACTTTACTAAACAACTTGACTGTAATTCTGCTCAGGTTCTTCTTTCCCCAATATGCAAGTTTTTTTTTATGCCTCAGGACCAAAACGAGCCAGAAAGGAAGATGGGGAGGCAGCACAGTAGGATCTACATGCCTTGTCATGCTTTGGTTTTCTTTGGATTTTAAAGGGGGCAGCGTAGCCATTTAAATGTGATCCAACCTCTTTGCATCTTACAAAGTAAAACAGCTAAAGGGAATAAAATTTAAAAAGCAACATTTATGGAATGTGTATATTAGCAGGACAGATTTCTCATGTCTGATTGTTTCTTTTGGAGACAGTGAATTTTTCTCTTGTGTTTCTGTCTTCTACAATTTAGATTTAGGGGATTTCTGAATTTCAGCTATAACTGGTTTGTCGGATGGTTTTACAGACTAAAATGCGATGGGCAGGGTGCAGCAGTAAGTCAGATCTCCAAGGTGGCAATATTGGCTAGACTGTCCTCTAGTCAAAATTTTCAGAAATCCTCATTAAATCATTCTTTTGGTGTTGGAAAGCTGTAATAAATGAAAAATTAGAATTCACTCACTATCCAGTTGCCATATCTCATTATTTAATAATTCATAAAATATTCACAATATAACTTTATTCATATATTACTGAAACATTTTAAAGGGCATTTGTCTTTAATTTTTTTCAAGGGAGTCTATATCTATGACAGGCAATAACTGATTTAAATTATAATGAGCTTGCTTTTTAGTACAATCCATATTATAAATGATGAGATTAGCTGAAGCCTTTCTGGAGATGATGAGATTCAAATAGACTGGTCAATGAGATAATGAAATTTAAATAGCCTGGTCAATGAAATACAAAACTAAAAAAAAAAAATCTGCCTGGGCAAGTGGGCTGAACAATGGAATGATGTGCCTAGATAGGTGTAAAACTCTGAGCCCCCTAGCCTACAGTGCCCCTGGTTACCTCACCTTTCTGTCCCTGATTACCTCATCTCTCTGCCCAAGGCATTGGGCATACCTCTATAAGAATAGCTAGCTTCAGGGCAGCTAGGTGGGCAGTGGATAGAACTCCAACCTTGGAGTAAGGAGAACCAGAGTTCAAATCCAGCCTCAGACACTTGACACTTATTATCTGTGTGATCCTGGGCAAATCACTTAACCCTATGTGTTATCAAGAATAAATGCCTTTACTTGATTTAGAGACAGCTCGAGCAAATTCGAGACACCATGACACACACCTTGCACTTCAACATTTTGGTGACCTTGCACCTCTTCAATAGACATCATCACAGCTGTCTTAAAATATGGAAGAAATAAAATACTATCTAATTTGAAAAGCTTTAGAGAGAATGACAGAAGGGTATGCTGTATTGCCTTACAAGCTAGAGAATTGAATTGAAAGAAAAAATGAGCCCATGGAGAACTTGACATGACCAACGAAGTGAGATCATCTCAAAAGCATTTATAGATGATATTGGAGGAACAAACTGACTTAAAATTCAACATCTTCTGGTGCTTTGGGGGCAAGCTACCAATGAAAAATGAAATCCTCAGTCAGAACATTTGTACTCCACTGATTTGGAATTTCTTTTATCATTAGAGTTGGAAGGAATGTCAGAGAATACAGAGTGCTTCTTGTCTTGAAGACCTGTCAGTGCTTCTGCCTTTTCCATTTTACCCAGAGTCTCTCATTTCCAAATGAAATCCCTATTGACTTTCAAGGGATTTTTTTCATATGAGAAATTAGAGGGATGAAAATTGAAACTAATGGTAAAAGACAATAACCTACAATGTGCCTTCAATTGGAATACTTGCAAGTATCTTTTTTTTCCCAACTTTTTTTTCAATCATTGACCTGGATAAGAGTATACATATGTAATCAAAATTTCAGATGGTATAAAGTGATATAGAAATTATTGGAGGTGTAACATTTAAAAAGGTTCGAGAAACAGTTTCTGGGTAATTTAATCATTTTATTAATAAGGCCAGCAGGTTATTAATAAAAGGATGGTCATTTGGCCATCTCTCTTAGACGAAAGACAACTATGGCTGCAGACAGTTTATGTACCCTTCAAAACAGTAAGTGGGCCATCAAACAGCAATCAAATCTAATTGGTTAACGTGTTTGGGGGTGGGTTATATTTAAATGAAGGACTGAGTTTCTCGGGATAGGAAAAGTATCTCAATACCAGACCTCCCATAGCTTTAGGCTATCAATTCAAAGAATGTATATCCTTTTCAACAGGGTGGGGGGGGGCTGAGAGTGACCCTAGGATGGAGAAATTATCTCTACTCAGAACCACCACCCCTCCTTTGGTGACAAAAGGATCTGTCTCCACACTCCTCTTTTGGCAATCTAGACAAAAGGACCTGTCCCCACCCAACCTTGAGTAGAACACAAAGGGCTTCCTCACCTTAGATTAAATTCCTTGCAAGTTTGGGTGGGGTCTGACCAAGATCTGGTAGAGTCAATGCAATCTCATTATCAGTGATATCCTTCAAGAAAAGGGAACTTTTTAAAAAGAGGAATTTAGAAAAAGGGGAGAACCTCAGAATCTCTCCAAGATATTGGTTACTAATAATCATTTCTCACAGAGGTCTGATATTAGCTCAACATAAGGAGAATTTCCTAACAATACGCTTGTCTAAAAATGTTATAGATTGCCTCTACACACAGTGAGTACTCCATAATATGTCTTCAAGACTGGATGACCACTAGTTGAGAGGGTTTTTAGATGAGATTTATCCAATAAATAATGGTTTGTCTATGAGGCCTCTTCCAACTCTCTATGATTTTCTGATTCGATCCTGAAAACAACCCGGTGAAGTAGAGCATGCATTACACAGAGAAGATGAAAATAGAGCAGATACGTGTTTGCCAAAAGTCAGATAACTGGTAAAACCAGGACTTTTGTCTTTTCTTCCATACCCTATATGTATGTGTGTGTGTGTGTGTGTGTATATATGTATATATGTATATATGTGTATATATATATATATATATATATATATTAGATGTGTATTGATTATATTCCAAGTTTATTTTTTCTTAATGGTAGAATTCCAGAAAAAAGAGTCTGACAGAAATTAGGTTTAAGGGGTAGGTAGGTGGCACAGTGGATAAACCACCAGCCCTGGATTCAGGAAGACCTGACTTCAAATCCGACCTCAGACACTTGACATTACTAGTTGTGTAACCCTAGGCAAGTCACTTCAACCCATTGCCTCAACAGCCCACCCCCCAAAAAATTTAAGAAACCTTGAATATTATGAATACAAAAGCACTTGAAAGCAACTGAAGGGTCATCATGGGGCCTGAACATGAAAATGTTTCACTTGTTAATAAATAAGCAACTTCATCATTAGCAAAAAACACTTAAGTCCTCTTATGTTTATGGCACCTACACACGATGCCATGTTCAAGTAAATCTCTCAGAAAACTTATGTCACTTACTGTGTGCTATATGAGCTCCATTAGTCTCTCCCATTCTCTCAAGTCTTACCTGCATTTACAATGGAAACCCATGGCTTAGCCCTATTTATATTAATTCAGTGATTAATTTATTGAATACACATTAAACTGAGGCAGAATTTCCAAGAAAAAAGAAAACCTTATGCTCAATTCAATTCAATGTTATCTTGTACAATTCCTGAATTGCTTCTTTTTTGTCTTTTCTCCAAGATGGTAGATTCTTCAAAGGCAGGGCCCAAGTCTTACATATCTTTCTATCCTCTC